GCGGGCCTGGGAGGGAGAGAGGGCTGAGGAGGGCCTCGCCTCTCCGAGGGATGGAGGGGATGGAGGCGGCGGCGGCCAGACCTGCCAGCGGCAGCCCTCAGTGAGTATGGAGAGGTGAGGCGCGGGAGGGCGGGGGGCCGCCGAGTGGGGACCCGGCCGCCGCCGCCGAGCGCGAACCGAGGCCCTTCATGTCCATCTCCATTTAAGCTTCTCTGAGTTAGAGCAGATGCAAGGCTTGGGTCATAGAATCAGAAGGCTGCGGCAGAACCATCTTCCCGGAAGGCTGCCCAGGTGCCTCGAGGCGAGGGCCCCTTCTTTAAGCCTAGTCTCCCGACAAGGATCCTCTGGAAGGCTCTTCGAAAAGCTCTTTTAATTTAACTGAAACTGCTTGTATTAGACTCTAATCCCGTTTTCTGGATTGACTCATAGAAGAGAGGAAGAGGTGGCTGGGCCGGAAAGAGGAGCATTCTAGATTAACCGAGCATTCTAGATTACAGCAAATGGTTTCTAAACCATTTGGTTTAGGTCTTTTTCCTAAAGACCGTCCCCAAACTTCACTTAAAAATAACACGAGAGATTGCATTAAATGTGTCTTTTGCTGTACAAAGCACACATTCCTGAGACGTTGTATATATGCTGAATTGAAATAAGCAACTATAGAGGGAATTGCTACTTCAGAGTATTTTGTGGTGAATTTTTAGTCCATGTGTGAAGGGAATAATTTCCTCCTAATTTGTAGTTTATGCACATAGGGATTTTCATAAATGAAGTTTACTTCAAGCAGGACACATCTAGATGTATGTGGAGTAGCATTTTCCTAGAGAGCAGAGCAACTAGTAAGACTTAGTGGCATGTGTGCACACAGGTAACACTTTGAATAAAATCCTGGTGCATGTTTTCTTTCCCTGTGAAGCAGTTAACATTAGCCATGCCACTGAGGAGCAGTGTAATGCTGGCAACTCACTTAACCTTTGTGGACTGAACAGTCTCATCTGCAGAATAACTGGAGGAGGTCTTGTGGTCACTAAGTGTTTTTGAAGAGTCCTGGGCTTGGAATGAGAAACTTTTGCATTCCAAACTGGGCAGGCCTCTCTTAGCACATGTGTGATGTGATCTGTGCCTCAGTTAACCCCCTCTGTACAAGTGAGGATCATGACATCATTCTGGCAGCATTCTGTCCAAATTATTTGAGAGAGTGCTGTGGAAAGCACTCCAAAGGATTCTGCCTAGCATAGGGCAGATGCCCCCATAGGAGTTCAAGATTGATCAAGGTTTCCCTTTGAGCACAGCCTCATCAATCCCATGCTGTGGTCTGAGGCTTGCAGGTGGGTGGTTTGAAAGACACCTCCAGCCTGTCATCTCTCTGAGCTCCCTCATCCACAAGGAAGAGCATGTTGGCTAATGGAATTACTCCTGGCCGCCTGAGGGGGCCTGGTCCTTGTAAAGTCACCACATGCCCACTGAGGCTACCTTTCAGTGAAGCAGGAAGGCCAGGGAGTGGGGACTCATCCTGGGTTTCCCTCTGGTCCACATTCAGCATAGGGTTAATTGCTGTTTGAAGCTTCATTATGTCCACTTGTAGAATGGGGATAGAAATACCAGAATACTACTCAGAGTTGAAAGTAAAAGTTCCCTAACCCTCCCATGATTTACACTTTTCAAAGTGCTCTCACAGTGTCCAGAGGCCACCCTGCTCTGACTCCAGCTTACTTGGTGTGGATAGGACTCTAGACAACACACTGGGGGGAGGGTGTGTTTGAGCCATCCTGGTGCTGGATCTCAGGCTCTCTGTCTGTTTTCTCCTCCAGAGGGTCCAACACAGGAAGCAGAATGGCCAACGCCATGCAGGTGACCTCGGCTGTGGAGAGAAATGGTCCTGAGCCACAACCAGACAATGGACCTCTCCTGAGACCCTGGCCTAACTCTCGGGAAGACAGAACACCCAGCCTGATGGCCCCCAAGCCTCCCAGCACATGGAGGGTGCGGGTCCAAGGCCCCTCTGTGCTGGAGTCCAAGGTGAGGGCTTTGAAGGAGAAGATGACAGCAAGTAAACAAGGGGCCAGCTCCTGCCCCACCTCCCATGAACAGTCATCCCTCAAAAAACCCAAATGCCGACGAGTCAAAGCTGGAGGAATTCAGGCCCCACCAGAGGGCTGTTCCCTACCAGAGGGCATGGTGGCCTCTCATGCTCAGAACCCATCCAATGAGCCCCTGGACAGCAGTGTCAGTGAGGGGGAACCTTCCAGAAATGGGGGCTCCAGGCCTCCCTGGTCACCTGCCCTTGGGCTTGAGTGCTGGAATGGGCAGAGCCCGTGGTCTCCAGAAGCATCATGGATGTTGCCTGAAGGTGAGAAGGGTCTGCCACCAGAGCCTGGCTCTTTGCAAGAGAGCCTCTCCCATGGAATTACTCCTGGCCGCCTGGGGGGGCCTGGTCCTTGGAAAGTCACCCACATGCCCAGCCTGAAGAAAGGAAGGCCATGTGCCCTTCAAGATGGTCTGGTCGAAGTGGGAGACTTGGACAGCACTCCTCTGACCTCTGAGGAGAACTTTGTCCCCAGGGCAGCCCTGCTGCCAGGGCTCTGGAGACCTGGAGACCTGGAGGCTCTGGGCACTGGGGGCAGTGTCTTGTCCCTGTCTGACCGAGTCGAAAGGAATCGCCTGCTGCTGCAGGAGATGCTGAAGGTCTCAGGACAGAGCCCTCCCAAGGTGGAGACTCCAGCCTGGACTCCGTCCTGGGATACAGCTGCACCAGGTGAGGCTCATTCTGCAGGTCTGGGTGGGGCGGCCGAAGGGAGTCCCGTGCGAGGGAAAAGGAAGGGGTGCTTGGTTGGGAGCAGAGAAGGAAGGAGAGCACAGTTGTCTGTCACCAAAATCATCAATGTCCTCTTGGCTTTGACATAGGTTCTTTTTTTTTTTTTTTCTTTTTAAAAATTTTTTGGTAGTTGTAGATGGACAGGCTGCCTTTATTTTATTTGTTTATTTTTTATATGGTGCTGAGGATCAAATCCAGTGCCTCACATATGCTAGACAAGCACTCTCCCAGTGAGCCACAGCCCTTGATATAGGTTCTTTACCAGCTCACAGGCAGCCCTGCCTGGTAAAACCCCCCCCTGACCCTCCAGATCAATGAGAAGCCACCCTCTGGGCTTAGGGGTAGAAGCTACTATAACTTCTTCCCTGTGTCTTTACCCCTTCCCATGGTGGCCTTTTGAACTTGCTCCAGTGACATGCCTTACCCCCTGGTGGACCACATCACCCTCTGAGGCAAGCAGAAATGTGTATCTCACAGTTCTGGAGGCTGGGAGTCCAAGATCAAAGAACTATAGATATCAGATTCTCCCTGTGTTCCCAGGTGGTAGAAGACCTTCCCAGCAAAGAGGCTGAGCGTCCTATCCACAGGGCCCAGCTCCTGCAGTGGAGCTGCAGGGAGGTGCCAGGGTTCTGACCCAGCAGACACCTTCTTCATAAGCTCATGTGTCACCCCTACCTGAGGGCACATGTGGTCCTCTCAGCCCACACCATGCCTACCTACAGTCATCATGACAGACTGTGCCTGCATTTCTTTGACTGAGACACAGGCAAGCTGTTGGGTTTATCTGGGGGTAAATTACTGGAGAAATCTCTCTCCTTGGTGTCAGTTAGAGGCAGCTGAGAGCCCCATTTCTGCTTCTGTTCTCTTATCTCTGCTTCTATTCTGGGCCCTAGAGCGACCCTCGGGGGATGTGGACCGGGACTCGGGCATCTCTCTGCAGGACTCAGACCAGAACAGGTAAGAGTTCAGAGCCTACATTTTCTCTCCTTCCTTCTTCACTGTTGTCCCTCCATTTCCTCTGCACCAGGACACTAGGAGACTATGCAAAGCCAGACAGCAAACCCCATGCTGGTGGACAGTGGGCCCCTGGATCATCAGCCCTGAGACCCCCCAAAAAGTGTCAGTTGCTCCCAGTTACCCAGGCTGCTGCCTACCCGCTAGTTAGGCAAAACCACCAGGCACAGAGGTGTGCAAAGAGCTTCGCCTGCTGTGTGTCCTAGGGCCATTTCCCCTGCCCAGGCCTGTCTCTTTTATCAGTGAAATGGGAGAATTGTAGTTGTTGGGTTACTTCACAGGGTTATGCTGAGACTAAAAAATGTGATAATGGCTGTGGCAGTCGTAGGGAAAGTACATGAATGCGAAGCTTTCACTCCACCTGTTCTTTTCCTAATCAAGGGCATGTGCTGGGGTCAGTCTTCACCTCCAACCTCACTATGATGTCTACAGACTTTTTTTCCTAGCCTCTCCACCAGTGTTCCGTGGATCTGGACGTGCTGGAGTGTGATGGGGGAATTGGGGGCACCCGTCCTTCACAGGCAGTGTCCTGAGCCAGGCAGGGTGAGAAGAGTGTGCACAAAGTGTGGCAGGGGCCACGGAAGGCCTGAGCTGCTGCTGTGCCTGTGCAGAGGTTGGCCTCAGCCTCCATCTTTGCTGGACTCTTGGCACATGAGACTAAGAGAGGCCCTGGGGCTGGGAACGGCTCCCTTTTCCCCAGCTGCACAGTGATGTCAGCCTCTCCAGGGTCTTGTGGTTTCTGCTGAGGGCAGAGGTCAGCATTGTTGCTGCCCCATGAGCGGCCGCTCCCTGCATGAGTTCTGTTAGTTTGACCAGCCCTTCAGAAAATGTGGGCAGGGCCTCTCTTAGTCCATTTGTCTTAGTCCAAATGTCTTAGTCCATTTGGGCCACTGTAACAAAATGCCATCAGCTGTGTGGCTTACAACAACAGAAATGTGTATCTCACAGTTCTGGAGGCGGAAGTCCAAGATCAAAGAGCCAACAGATTCTGTGTCTGGTGAAGGCAGGTCTCCTGGCTCATAGATTCTCACTGTATTTTCACATGGCAGAAGGAGGCCAGAGTGCTCTCTGGGGCCCCTTTACAAGGGCACTAATCGCCTCCCAAAGGCCTCCCTTCCTAATCACATCACACTGGGGATTAGGATTCAACATATGAATTTGGGGGGACCAGAGCAGCCCCTGGTCCTGCACTCTGCTGTAACAAAGCAGGGGCTGCCCAGTCAGGTGATTTGGCTTCTGCTTGCTGAAGGGTCTGGTGGAGAGAGGGATGTCTGGCCCCTCAGTCTTCTCCCACCTCTGAGGCCATTGTTGTCAGCCTCTTGTCTCCTCCTGACCTGACCCTGCCAGCCACGAGGAGTGTCACTACAGGAAGGACCGTGGTCCTCGGGGATGCTCGACTCCCCCGCCCTCCTTCTGTCCCTGCCCCACCTTCCCCGGCAGGTGCACCTGGGTCCTGCGGAGGTGGCACCCCTGTTCCTCCCACCCCCACCCGCCGCCCTTGATGGAGAAAGTCCCTGGGGAAGGTGCAAAGGTGCAGCCCCTGGAGTTTCACTCAGAGGAGACTGTTGAAAAGAGAAGCCAGTGCTCCTGGCTTGCACGTTGGATCACAGCTACTAAAGGCCTCTCCTTTTAAAGGAGGACCTTGACCCTGTGGGGAGGGACTTTCCCTCAGGCCTGTGAGGAGGTGGTGTTGGTTTAGAACCCTCAGGACAGGGGCTCCTGACTATGGTCTAACCTGCCAGGCCATCTGCAGCCACGGGTGCATTTTAGAGTTTGCGTAGGGTTGTGCACATGTGTATTGCATGATTTGTGTGTGTGTGTGTGTGTGTGTGTGTGTGTGTGTGTATGATGGGTGGTGCAAGTGTGTCAGGGATTGGGGAGGAGAGGTGACTTAGTGAACTTTAGGACCCATTCCAACACTAACAAAATATCCCCTTAAAATGCCTAGCAGAGGGGTTGGGGTTGTAGCTCAGAGGCCCAGCACTCGCCTAGTGAGGGTGAGGCACCGGGTTCGATCCTCAGCACCACGTAAGTGTAAAATAAAGATGTTGTGTCCACTTAAAACTAACAAATAAATATTTTTTTAAAAAAATGCCTAGCAGAGAGGGACACAGAGTTGGCATGAGAGTCACGTTCCCCCTAGGCAGATACCCAGGCTGAAGGGCCGGGAAACATGGGCAGATTCAGGGAGGGAGAAGTCCTGCCATGTCACGGCAGACCCTCTGAGAGGCTCCTTATCTGGCTCCATTCTTGAGCCTTCTGGGTGGACATGAAAGTGTCCCCAAGACACCACAGGGCTCCGTGTCCCCCTTAAGTGGTTTGCTGGTGTCACTTCTATAGAGCCAGACTTCACAAGAGATCTTTGAGGTAAGGCATGCTTCCCTCAGCTCTGTACCCTGGAGGACCACCAGGTCAGGGGCCTGGACTTAGTGTCCACACTAAGTGGTTTAGGACCCCTTGCAGAGAAGTGCTCTGAGAATGGCTGATTGTCCTGGACATTCAGGGACATGCAAAAGGCAGGGCCTTTTCAGGGAGGAGTGAGAGCCTCAGCTCTTCTCAGGGTTGAGGGATAAGCAGCCCTGCCTCACACCTCCTCAAGCTCCGCATTCCTGCAGCTTCTTGCTCCACTCAGAGAGCCATTACGACCAGGCAACCCACCATGGACTTCATTATGTCCGTACTTCCTACTGCTCTATAAGGTAATGAGACAAGAAGCTCATGAAATGAGGGTGACTACAGAGCCCAAATTAGCACTTGGGGTGTGGGCTGGCCCCGTTTGCTGGGAGGTAGTCCTAGGGAATCAGCTGCTGAGATGAGCCATCCAAGATCCAGGATCTTCAATGCAAAGGGTCAGATGCAGAGGAGACCTCCATCCCCAACTTCAGTGTCGTCCTGTTCTACTAAGAGGCAAGAGAAGGCTCAGCCCCAGAGGACTGGACCATCCCAGTGGCCAGTCCAAAGGCCAGGCCCACAGCTGCTCTTCTCCAGCCTTATGCACAGGTGCTGTGCTAAGTTCCTGCACTCCCACTTTATCCCAATCACAGACCTTATGTGCTGCTCCTGGGTCACTGACAGAGACCACCACGTTTCAGGGCCACCAACTGTCCTTCCCATCCCTCCACAGGCCATCCTGGGGCTAGGGGTCTGGGGATCTTGTGTGTCCCCCAGCCTGGAATCTCCTCAGGTGTGGGCACTGAGGTATAGGAGTCTCTGTGGAATAAGCTTGTTGTCTCCTGAGTGTCACTGAGGTGTTCAGGCTTGGAGTCTTGATGGGAGGGGGAGGATGCAGGGAGACGTGGGGCCTCAGAGAGTGTAAAGGGCTCCCTGGAGAGAGGTGGGAGAACAGGGAATGGGTGCTGTGCTTGGGGAGCCTCTGCCATCATCCACACCTGGCAGCCGATGGCTGTGCTGTCACTTGCATCCAAGGGCTTAGATCCAAAATGTTCTTCTCTATAAAATGGCCACAGCCATCTCCATCTGTCCCTTCCCGGAGGCTCTGAGAGACATACTGGGATTACAGAGTGCTTGAGGATCCCACATGAATCAGCAGGAATGGAATTGGTGAAACCAGAGGAGCAGCAGTCCGTGCAGGGCTGGCTTCAGACCCCAGGCCACAGGGCGTCTGGCTGATGCAAGTGCCTGGGTGGCCCCAGGCCGGGGGGCCCTCCCCAGCAGGCAGTCTCCACTGAGAGGCATGCTGCATGCCCAGGCTGCCCTGGTTCAAGTCTGGAGTGTGTGTGTGTGTGTGTGTGTGTGTGTGTGTGAGAGAGAGAGAGAGAGAGAGAGAGAGAGAGAGAGAGCGCGTCTGCAGGGGCTCTAATGATTGATCTGCCCAGGGGGAGGTGGGGAGGAGGCAGCTCTGGGTCAGGCTGTTTTTCTGTGCTGGAGGGAAGAATTCCTAGGTGCCCACCTCCCCTCCCCACGGGAAGAGATGAGTATCTTTGGAAGAGAGGCGCAGGACCAGGTGTGTATGTGGGAAGAGGCGCCTTACTTTCACCCCCTCTGGGTGCACCACCTGCCAGGAACCTCTGTGCGTTCAGCTGTCCGGAAGTTTTCCAAACCTTGTCCTTATGGGGTTCGATGGAGGCTTCAGCGTGTAGGCAGGCGTGATCACATCACTGGCTGACTATGATTGGCTCAGCCTTCTCTCCCTCACCCTTTCCCTCCTGGGGACATGGAGGTGGAGCCGCAAGTCCCAACCTTCTAATCCTGCCTAGGCCTCTGTTTGGAAGCCCTCTGCCTGCAAAAGTCAAGTTGATTACTCTGGAGATTCCAAGGGTTGTAGGAGCTGTGTACTGGGAACCAGAGGCAATGACCCAATGTATATTTCGTATATCACAGTATCACAGAGACTCTTGTTTGAGTGGAGCACTGTGTGTACATGTCAGTGTGATCCCAGGTGGAACTGCCCGTGTTTTGCTCTCACTGACCACTGCCTGCATCGCTGCAGCCATAGCTCTTACTCTCCTCCTGGAGCTCCTGGGGGCAGGAACTGTGCTGCTTACAGAACAGGGGCTCAGAAAACTGGCAGAGGCAGGCAGGAAGGAGCGAGTGAGGGCTGGACCTGTGTGGGCTTGCGAGGGTCTGGATGGAAACAGGAGAGGACATTCCAGACGGGTGAGGCCTGCAGAAATGCCTGGGAGCGTCTGAGGTGGAATGTGTGGTGGATGACCCTATTAGGATGTAGGGTGGAGGCCACTTATGGAGAACCCTTGGGATTTTTATTTTAATCGGAATGTAGAGACATTTAAGGATCTTGCTCATGTCGCCCCCCACCCCCCAGTAGCAGGGTGATCTTAGCTCCTGGAGTGTGGGCTGACACAGTGGCCTGGGGTCTGGTGCTGTGTCAGGGAGCCTGGTGAGGGGGGTTGGAGGTCATTCTGAGCCACAAGTCGGGTTCCAGATCTTCCAGGCCCTAGTATCAGGGAGTCATAATGAGTCCTGGGGTGAGCATGGGAGAAGAGACACTCCTGCCCTACCCCAGGATTCCTGGTATAACTAAGGACCCCCCCAGGGCAAGGGTGTCACTAAAAGAGTGGCTGAGCCCTCCCTGTCCTGCTTACATAGCCCCCAGCCATTCCTGTGCTGCCACATGGTCTCAGACAGGTTGGCACAAAGGAGAATCCATTACCATCCAGTCCCACCAAGACTAAAACAAAAAAGAAAAATAATTAGGCTTAACCGCTCAACAGTTTTTACTACAAAACCTGCTCCCTTGGTGTCTGGTACTCTGGAGCCTCTGCGGTCAGGGAAGCTGACCCTGGAGCCCGGTACAAGGCCAGCGCCACCTGGAATGCTCAGATGCAGGCCTGCCACGTGCTCACCACATACACACATCAAAGCCGATCTTTACCAGAAGAAGTTCATTTACCTAAGGCGGCTCATCTGGTGGGGAGCAAGGCTGAAATCCAAGAAAAAGAAGCCCCCCCCCCCCCGCCTTCCAGAGCCCAGCAGGGGAGTGTCTCAGATACCTGATGCCATTTTGGGCCTTGTATGTCCTGTACCCTGAGTCCAGGCAGTGTGACTGCAGGGGCGCCCTGGAATTCGTTGGCCTCTTTCAGGACAGTGAGCAGGGCTGCTCTGCTCTCCCCAGAAGTGACAGTCTTAAGGAAATGGTGCAGGCTTCCACCAAGGTCTCAAAAAGATGCTAAATGAAGTGGCTCTGTCCAGCAGCCTATCCTGAGGATCCACTCTCGCTTCTGTGTTGAGAGAAGAGCTTTCCCCTCTGGGCACCGGGGTCCTCCTGCAGCTTCTGACTTTCCCTGTTCCCTGCTGCATAGACATCACCTTTCCAAGCTGCTCTGTCAAAGGCTTTCGAAGATCCAGAGCAAAACCACAGTGCCCTCTCCAGCTGCAAGATGTTTCTTCCACACATGCCTTTCCTCTGCAGGTGATCTTGGTGGCAGGTGACTTTAGTTCATGTTCAGGGATTCCATTGCTTAGGGAGGGGTGAGAGCCATCTATAAACAATGGTGCTAGGGATAAAAGTGATGGTCTTCATAGCTGAGCCCTTATTTAGCAAGTGAGCAAAGTGGGGCTTCACCCTGAAGTTGCCTGCCAGGGTGGCACAGGTAGGGGGTAATCGTCCAGAGCTTGGCACTCAGGCAGTTACCCCTGGGCCACATTCTCAATCACTACTCTGGGCTCTGTTCTGTCAGGGTCCTGCATACCTGGGAGGAAGTCACCTGTGCCACTAAGCATGACATTGTGAGTTCAAGACAAGGACCCTGGTCTTATGGAGCATGCCATCCTGAATCCATTTGCTGCACACTTGATCATCTTGCACAAAATGACAGTAGGAAAGCTCTGTCCTTGGTCATCAAGAGCTTTAAAATATACAAAAGTGGAACACACACCAAGAAAAATGTTAATCTCTGTCTGTGCATACATGAACTGGCTGCACCCTGGAAGCTGGGAAGTTTGTGCTCTTTCTAGTTCCTATTATTTCCAGATTCACATGCCTGAGATGGAAGGGTTAAACCCAGACTCACTGGAACTTCTTATTTTAATCCAGGATTATGGTGGCTATAGAAAAAGGCTGCTCTGTCCCCTTGACCTCTTTGGCTGGGAGAGGAGTGGTGGTTCTCCTGCCTGCCTGGCTGCAAGGGGAGGTAAAGGCAGGGCTAAGCCTGTCCCTCCAGGATCCTGGCCTAGACCAGAAACCAGAGCTTGGGAGACATGCTGCCCTTGTCCTGGAGACACAGGAGGGCAGAGGGAGGGCTCTGGACACTAGAGGGACTCCAGTTTTCCCCCAGCAATTAGCTCTTTGTAGACTTGCTGCTCCACGAGGGCCCAAACTCTGTGGCGTGAGCACCCCAGAAGAGGATCCTCCCCCCACAAACAACAGGCAACAAGGTCAAAGATCCAGACTCACAGGCTTGCAGAGAGCGCCCCCTCCCATCTCTAATCCCCTTGGTTACAGAGGGAAAACTGAGGCCCGGGGAAGAACAACTCTCAGCCACCTTGTTCCCATGCCCTATGAGCTCAGAAGTCTCAGCTCGTATAAGACGGCAACAAAAGCTGCCTATTCTTGGGTGGGAATTGACTTTGCCTGGATGCACTGTGACTGCCCCACTCTTCAGGATATTGCCAGGGGAACTGTGAGAGCTGGGATTGATTGTGTCCTATAGTCCATAATAGAAGGGTTTGGCTTGGCAGCTGTGTGCCCTGGGCAGAGGCCAGGGTCAGAAAATGGAGGACTGAACGTGGCTTCCTGCAGGGTTGGTGTTCCTTTGATGTGACGGTGGGAGGTGGGCAGTTAGGGACAGGCTCAGCACCCCGAACACCACACCCACTTGCTCCCTGCTTCTCAGATGAAGACCACCTTCTCTCACCAGGGTGCACGGTGGCTGGGAGTTGCCTGCTCTGCTGACCTTGGCTTCAGTGTGAAGGTGGCTGCCGCTCTCGTCCCTGCTCAGTGTGTTACTGCATGATGCCTCCGGGCGCCTAGAAAGCCTGCTTTTCTAATCAGTGGAGAAGCCAGCTTTGTCTGCCAGACACTGCAGCCGAGCAGCTGAGGGGGGCGGGGTGGGCGAACCCAGCTTCAAATGGAGGAGCAGCACGGAAACAGCAAAGCTGGAAAATGGCTTAAAAACCTGGGGGCACGGCTGATCCCGGCAGCATCTGGCCAGCTGCCGAGGGGCCCTCCTGCCTGCCCACCAGACCTTGTGACAAATGCCCTCCGACAGCCGGGGAACCACAGCTGTCACCGGAAGGTTCCCAGTGTGCGGGCGGGCAGCCAGAGGCCCGCGGCTGCAGGGGCACCTCTCTGGGCTGGTAGCCTCATTATCTCTGCCGCGGAGCAGGAGCCCCAGGGAGCACAGCTGCTCTCAGCCGCGTTGGAGGAGCAGCCGCCTGTTCTGGAAGCTGCGCAGGGGAGGCCTCTCCTGCCAAAGGAAGCCTCCTGGGGCAGCGGGCCTGGAGATTTACTTTCACATTGCTTCTGTGCCGCCCTCCTCCTTCCGAAGCTGTGCCTGGGCCCCGCCGGGGTTCTCAAGCACTGACAGTGCCTTTGTGCCACCACTCTCTCCCCCTACGGCCCCAAAGCAGGGTTAGATGCAAAAAAAAAAAAAAGGAGAAGAGAAGAAAAAGAAATTCGTGGTCTGCCTGAGCTTGCCAAGAATGGCCTGAGCAGCACCTCTCCCTGGAGGCCAGAGTCGTGCCTTTGTTCCCACACGTCTGTCATCAGGAAACTGCCTGGTTCCATCCCTCAGTCAGGACGAGGACCCTTTACCCACATGGCATATGGGGCGGGTGTGTGGGCCACAGGCCTGTCTGAGCCTCCGGCTGCCTGAGTTCACTCTGTGAACCCCTCCCTGTGAGGACAGCCGGGCATATGTGACAGAACACTGAAATTAACATCAAAGAGTGTGTCTGACTTCAGCCACAAACATCCTCCACCTCTCCGGGGACTCAAGGAGGGGAGAGGACAGGATGCAGGAAGGACGCGGGAGGCAGTGGGGCTGCTGTCCTCTGTTCCGCTCTGCTTGCTCTCAGTGGATGCTCGACCTTGAGCAATGTGCCAGCGTCCTCTCTGCGCTGGACACCCTCATCTGTCAAGCAGGGAGAACACCTGCCCTTGGCCAGCCTGCCTGGGGGAATGGGCTTTGCAGAGGAAACAGTCTTATCAGGAGGAGGCTATGGGCTGCGGTTACTGCTGTCACCCAGCACAGGTGGTATGTCACCGCCTGGGAGACAGCTTTGGAAAAGGGCAGCTGTCATTTCTGCAGCTCTGGACTGGCCCGGGCAGCAGCACATCTGGTAGGTTGTGCTGCCAGAGGACCCTTATTATTATGGAAACGGAGCCATTTGCCGACTTGGTCTGAGTGCAGCCGAACCCCTCTCAGCTCGGAGCCTGTGAGCCCTGGGCTGATGTGGTGCAGGTTTGAATTAGGTTGAAGGCAAGGAAATAGCAGGATTTGTGAAAATGTCACTACCCCAAAGGACCAGAACTGGGATGGGCGATGCCTGAGTCCCGCATCTGCGGTGGGAGCTGGCGGAGCTGTGTGTGCTTGAGTGGGTGTGCATGTGTGCACCGAGGCCAAGAGGAGACAGGAGGTGGTGCATGTCAGGACCATCTGTCTGGGCACAGGCCCAGCCCCCAACCCCAGGTCCTTTCCTCCCTCCTCCCCCAGACAGCTCCTGCTGTCTGCCCAGGGAAGGAACAATAGAATAATCTGGAGACTCCCCTACCCTTTTCTAGATCCTCCTGGGTCTTTGCCTCCAGCCCCTGAGCAGATGTGCAAGGCTGGGCCAACTCCCCACCCCTCGTCTGGAGCTGCTCAGGGCCATTCCCTAGGCCCCAGGCCCCAGGCTGGGTTCCCCCTGGGCCGGAGCTGGAGGGAGAGGCGCACATGCAGGGCTTTTTCTGGTTGAGCTGGTGCTTGACACTGTTAAACCCCTCCTAATCTGTGTTATTTTCTTCTAATCCCTCCTCCGCCTGCCCTGGCCTATGTGTCACCCTGCAGGACCTTTGGTCCCAAGCCGGAGCCCATGCTGAGCGCCAGGCATGAGGAAGCCAAACATCTGCTGCATCGTGCCCGCATGAAGGCCAGGACCCAGCCCCTCCGTGCCAACCATGACATCGTGCCCACCATTGCTCAGGGCAGCCGGTGAGTGGGGCTGGAGCCAGGCTGGCCTGGGAGGACCGTGGCGGGGAAGCCTCCTCCCTTCTGTGTGTGTGTTTTCTACATCAGGCACTTGTAGGGATCCTTTGGCCAGTCAACACCCCTTTACTGAGGGCTTAGAGTGTCATGAATTGAGACACAAAGATGAATGACCATGACCTGTGCTCCCTGGAGGCGTGGAGGTTAAGGTCTCCAGGGAGAAAGGGTGCCAAACAGAGGCTCTGCTCTGTGGACTCTGGTGTAGGGAGGAAAAATGTGCGTGCCCAGCTGGAGACCTGAAACCCCACCTAGAAAGGACAGGTGAGGTTCTGAGAAGAGGTGGCTTCTCAGGACGTTCACTGGGCAGATAAGGGAGGCAGGGGTGAACATCCTAAGGGCAGAAGTGACAAGCGGAAGCACCAAGCTCAGGAGTTCAGCTAGGCTGGAGCAGGGACCCTCGTGATGCCTGGTGGGGAGGCCAGAGAGCTCACAGAGTCTATTAGTGAGGCCGCCAGGCCTAATAAACAGCTTGGATTCTCCTGTAATATCCAGGAGCCACTGAAGGACTCTGAGCAGGTGGAGAGCGTGGTCATATTTGCATCTCAGTAATGCATGCTGGCTGCAGGGATGTGTTGGATCTGGTGGACGAGGGCCGACAGGAGGCTGTTGCCATGATCCTGGTAGGAGGTACAGGGGAGGAGAGTGTGCAAGCCTCACAGAAATCCCCCCAAAACCAGAGTGAGCCAGCTAAATAAGGCAGCAGAGAAGAGGTAACATCAGAACCAGACTAGCCAGGTTTGAATTCTGGCTCTGCCTTATTAGCTGTGTGCCTTTGGGGAAGTCTCTGTTCCTTGGTTTCCTTAAGAAGGGGTTATGATAGTGCCTGTCTTTATGAGGGTCATCATGAGGGGTATATGAGCTAAAATACAAAATGTGCTTACAACAGAGCCTGGCATGCAGTGAGTGCCAGAAGACTGTTAGCTCTGACTGCCAATCATTTGATTACCTGGGGGTGGAAGGCATTCGGGACATGGCCCAGAGTCTGACTTGCATCCAGGCATTTGGTGAGATCCAGCCAGGTTGATGCCCAGGTGCAGGGTCAGGCTTGGGAGGACAGGTCCTAGAGCCTCTGCTGACTCTGTCCACCAGGCAGTTGCATACAGGATACTTAGAGGAGAAACTTGAGTATTTTCCCTCATTTCATGATGCTGGAGCCATGAACAGGACCTCATGTGGGATGAACAGATGGAAGAAGAGCAGGTTCTGGAACTTTCAGACATAAGTGTCTGTCCCCTGAGCAACACGCCCCACCTCCATCACTGTGCCTGTTTTGTGTATGGAGCATCTTATAGAATTGCTCATACCTCAAGGAGTTCTCCAGCACCCAGTACCAGCCCTGGCAGGGCTCCTGAACCTCCTGTGGGCCATGCCAGATCTTGCCAGGCCAAGCAGGACCACTGAACCACCAGGCATGTGACTTCAATGGCATGGTGGGCATGCTGGGTCTGTCTCCATTATATGTGACATCAGAGCGAGTGAGGACTCTAGTGAAACTGGGCCATGTATTCTTTCTTTTAAATATATTTTTTATTCATTTATTTATATGCAGTGCTGAGGATTGAACCCAGTGCCTCACAGATGCCAGGCAAGCATTCTACCACTGAGCTACCATCCCAGCCCTGGACGATGAATTCTTTGACAGGGTGCTGAACCTGCTTAGTAGAGGCTAAGGACCAGCTGGGTGCTGTGGCATACGCCTGTAATTCCAGCAAATTGGGAGGCTGAGGCAGGAGGATCCCAAGTTCAAGGCCTCAGCAACTTAGCAAGATACTGTTTCAAAAATAAAAATAAAAAGGTTGGAGATGTAGCTGTGGTAGAATGCTTCTGGGTTCAATCCCCAGTACCACCACCAGAAAAGAAAAACAAGAATAAGGACCTTCAAGGACCATTGATCACTGAGAGCAGATCCTCTGTGTTTAGTGTCATTGTGTCACTGTGGCTCCTAGGAGAAGGGCTCAGGAGGCCCTAAATCCTGATAAGATGTGCCCAACAGGTTACCCTTTTGTTTCCACATTTTATGCCTTTTCCTCTGGCCAGGGGGGTACTTAGCATGGCTTCCTTGAGGCATCCTGTTCTTCCCATATGTGTAGGGAGAAGCCTGTGACTTCCAAGGACCTCTCCTGTCCTGCTTTCCCCAGGTATTAGACTGGATGGGAAAGCCACAGCATAGACTGTCAAGCAGACTTCCTGCGCACATATCCTCCTGGGCACTCCCTCTTCTCCAGATGACTCCAGCCCCTCACGATGACCCCAGTCCTAACCTAAAGTAGGCTCCCTTTTCCCCAGCCCTGGAAATGCTATAGAAAGGCAAGGTGACCCACTTTAGCAGCTGCTGCGTCCAGAAAAGAATGATTGTGACTTGGCAGCACTGGGGAATCCTCCCAGGGTATAGCTGCAAACTCCGAGCCAGATGGCTTGCCACGGCTGCTGCTAAAGGTTACGCTCTGTCGGAGGGCCCTGGAGGGCCAGCAGACTCAACACTGGATGCTGCACAGACCCCGGGCCTCAGCTAGAGGTAGCAGGCCCTGGCCCCGGCCCCAGCACATCGCTGTTTCCCCGAGCAGCTTGGCGAGGATTGCTGGAAGAGGAGGGGTGCCCAGAGCAGTCTCCAGGAGGCTTTTATCCTGGGTCTGGCTGGAGGCACAGGGCGAGCCTGAGCACCCGGGCTTTTCTGGAAGGTGAAGACGGGGAAGCAGCTACATTTTTTAGAAGTAAATTGACATAGAAATTAAGCAGCCCCTGGAAGCAAAAACTCTTGCCATTCTTGGAAGAGGCACCTAGATTGGTGTTCTTAATCCCAAAAGGCAGCACATGTCGGCAGAAGGCACGCTGGATAGTGACACTGTGCTGTCCTGTAAATGGTGGCTACATAAGACTCTGTAGAGCTTGACACAACACATGGCTCGTGTGGCTAGGACAGCATCATTATAGCAATTGCCCCAGAGGGTCTCCCCACGGAGGCCACACAACTCCAGGGCTACAGCAGAGGCCTGTTCTGGAGGGATGGCTGCTGGGGTCTCTGCCAGCCTCGACCTGGGATGGCAGCTGCCGTGGGATTTGCTTGCTGCGTGCCTTCTGCTGTCTGCACTTAAAGGCCTCTCCCTGCGTTTTCACACTACTGCTGCCACTGCGTTGGGGTGAGGGACTCTGGGTTTGAAAAACACCCTACATGACTCAACTCGCCTCACTCCTCCTTTTAAAACAAAAATGTTTCTCCCTGTAGAGTGAGTCCTAGGATAGTTCAGTTCGCCATCTTGTGTGCAGAAGTTCAGGACCCTGATGGGGGGCTCCCTTGTTGGGTTAGGACTGTGCTGCCTGGAAAGCCGGGGTCTTATTTAGTTTTTGCCAGAGTTTACAGCCCACATTCCTTCAGCAGCAGAGCAGGGCCTTGGCCCTGGGGTCTGTACAGGGGTGGTTTCCCAAGCCATGCCCAGGATCCCCAGTGGGCCTGGCCTGTGTTAGGTGGACTGGCTGGGGAAGGTGTCCACCTGTGTCCTGGGGGTAGGGGGACTCTTCTCTCTAGAGGCTGAGGCTGCTGTTTCTCAGTGATCACTCTCAGCCTCAGCATCTTCTCAGTCTCTGGGGGCAGATGAGTGGTGCAGGTGTTCGGGGGAGGGAGACGCCAGTATGGGGTGTCTCTAATCAGGGTTCTCCAGAGAAACAAAACCAACAGGACAAACCATACGGAGAGGGTTATTTTAAGGAATTGCCCTCCCTGTGTGGGAGCCTGCAAAACCTGCAGGGATGCCGGCCGCTGAACACCAGGGCCATGCTGGGTCTGTGTCCAGAGGCAGCTGGCAGAATCCTCCTTGCTCAGGGGAAGTTGGTCTTTGTTCTCTTAAGGCCTTTTGCTGGTTGGGGTGAGGCCCACCCACACTATGGAGGGTTACTGCTTTATTCAAAGTCCTTTGATTTAAATGTTAGTCTTCTCAGAAACACGGAGGATAGTGTTTGGCCAGGTGTCTGGGCACTGTGGCCCAGCCAGACTGACACACAGAATTAACCATCACACGTGGTTCGTATGCAGAGAGAAATGTAGAAAGGTAGGAGCCCAACTCGAGCTAAGGACGACTCCAGGGTTGATGGCAGGGGGATTGTGGGGGTGAAGGGGCAGGAGCCCGGAGGCCCTGCCAGTGGGAGGGGGCCATTGAGCTGGAGAAGAAGGTGGGGAGGAAGAGGAGGACCATGTTTTCACCTCAAAGACCATCAGCTGGAGCCTGTGTCCTGCTGTAGTGTGTGAAGAAAGCTGGGCTCCCGAGGGCCACAGACAGGAGGCAGGTGGAGAGGCCAGAAGGGGCCACTCAGGTGTGAGAAGTGGCTCCCACACACTCAGCAGTGGATTGGCGGGAGGCTGGGAAGGGGAGGGAGAGTGTGGCCCTCACGGGGGCCTCTGATAGGAGGAAAGCCAGGGCCTGGGCCCGCTTGCACAGTGGCCTGAAACTCTGGCTCCTGGGGCCTGGGGTGAGACAGGGAGGGCCGACCCCAGCCACAGTGCCTCCCAAGCCAAAGCTGATGGCTGTGACGACTCTCCCCAGCACTTAAAACACCCTTTCCCCATAAGGGCTTCACCACATGTGCCGTGAATGTACCCTTGGGGTGTCCATGGGGGATTGGTTCCAGGACCTCCCGCAGATACCAAAACCTGGATGCTCAAGCCCCTGATGTAAAATGGCATAGCATTTGGATATAATCTAGGGCTGGGATGGTGCTCAGTGGTGGGGCACTTAGCTGGTATGCAGGAAGTCCTGGTTTGATCCCCAGCACCACACACACACACACACACACACACACACACACACACACACACCCCATATAACTTGTGCACATACTCCTTCCAACCATCTGTTGGTTGCTTATAACACTGAATACGATGTGAAAGGTCGTTGGGTTACAGTGTCCAGGGGGTTGAGACAAGGAAAAAAATCTCTACGTGTGCGGTAGAGATGCAGGTGTTCTTTCCAAATGCTTTTGATATGCAGCTGGTTGATCCACAGACTCGAGCCTGTGAATATAGAGGACTGGTTGTCCATATTTCCACAGCTCACCACTACCAGCAACGCACGATGACCACTTCCTCTCCCGAACACACACACACACACACACACACACACACACACACACACACACACAAGGACTTTGGTGTCTTCCTTCCATACAGTCCTGAGTTTAATGACATTTTCTCTCAGCTCAGGCCCAGCCAGGCCACAGAGGGAACATGGGGCTTCTGTTTGGTGCCGGGCATCAGAATCAGAATGGGCCTGTGATACAGGGCTTGGCCTTGACGCCCCAGAAAGCTGATTTGGGGTAACTTTGTGGGTTACAGCAATCCCAGAGCATCATGGAGACTGTTCCCCTGGTTGTGTGGTGAGGGTCGGGCCAGGGTGTACCCAGGGAGGGACCATCTTCCCCACATCCACCCTTCTACCTGTGACCTCTCTCCTGTCTCTTCTTTAGAGATGGCCAGAGAGGCCCAGCCCCGGACCCCAGGATGACCTTGGCCTGCAGAGACAGTCTCCAGAATGGGAACGTGAGTGACTCCTCCAGCGGGGAGTCCAGCAGCGGGCAGTGGCCTAAGCAGGGCACGTCCCCTTCGCACGTTCGCTTTCAGGACGAGACTGCCCGTGAGGCTGAGTCCCGCTACCTGGAGCGGCTGCAGCAGCGCCAGCGCCAGGTGCTGAGCACAGTGCTACCGGCCTCGGGCCAGGGGCCACTGCGCTCCAAGCCCCACGTCACCCACTACATTAACCGGGACATGGGCGAGGGCACGTTCCCCAGGCCCCTGGGTGGCCTAGACCGCAGGGGCCTCCTGGCACCCCCAGCGCCATGGGGCAGCGAGGGGAAGTGCAGAGCCTGTGGCCACTGTCTTCAGGATGGACGCCCTGCTGAGGGGAAGGTGCCTCCCAGCCCTGGGGTGGCCCAGGGACTCCAGGCTGCCTGTGGAGTGGAGGGGGTGATGCTGGAGCCCCACACCTCCTGTGGCCCCAGCTCCCCATTCCAGCTCTTCCCTGCTGAGCCAGGGCTTCACTCAGAATGGGTCCGGGAAACACACATTGGAGACACCACCGTGTGCCCTGAGGAAGGAGACTCTGCCCTGGACAGCACGGACACCTCAGACAGCTGCCGGACAGACAGTGAGGAACCTGGGACCTCCCAGCCCAGAAGGACAGGCGGGCGGCCCAGAGGCAGCAGCCGCCGACAGCAGGGCTCCCGGCCTCAAGGAGGCCACAGATGGTCCAAGAAAGCTGAGGTGGAGTCGTCCTGGGCCCCTGAGGCCCAGGATGAGGTTCACGATGTGGAGGAGGGAGATGAGGTGAAGGAAGGCAGGGGACAGACACCTGATGGGACTCTGAGAGAAGACGCTGTCCCTAAGCCTCCTGCCCTGGAACCTGAGAGGTCTTCCCTCGGGTCCGAGAAACAACCTGAACAAGAACTGAAAAGTCACTGGGACCCTGTGGACTCCTGGGCTCCTTGCAGGACAGCCTATGTCACCACGTCCTCCACAAAGCTTGGGCCTTCGGGGCCAGGCAGACCAGACCAAGTTATAGAAGGCCACGAGTCTCCCGAAATTGTCTGCACTTCCTCCCTGCAGCAGAGCCATGCAGAGCCCTCTGCTCACCGCCCAGCCCGGCAGCCAGCTGCTTCTCTCTCCCCTGAAGGCTGGGTGCCAACACCTCCCACTTCGAGGAAAACCACCTCCCCTGGGCCTCACAGGAAGGCAGCGCTGGCTCGGCCCGGCAGTCCCCCAGTCAGGCACCCACTGTTGGCCCTGTCCACCAACAACTGCAACAACTGTTCCCCCCTGGAGCTGCAGGAGCCCTGGGGAGCAGCTATCCACCACGGCAGGGCAGACAGGGGTCCCTGTGGCCAGGAGCCGGATCTGCCCCTGGAGAGCAGCGGAGACGGTAAGGCTGCCCTTGCTCAGACTTGGCCTCAGGCCAGGTCGGGGACACTCTGGGCGTTCAGTCTTCACTTGCTTTTCTTCTCAGTGGTCAGATAACACAGCCACACACTCCCAGCAGCCCCTCAGAGTGATGGCAGGTGTCAGGGGAGCTGGTGGCCTGGGGGTTGAGGCAGGCTTCAGCTTAGCCCAGAGTGGAGGCAGGACCATGGGGAGGCCGTGGTTCCCAGCAGCAAGCTCCGTGGCTGTGGGCAGCTGGGCTTCATGGGAATCTGGCTCCATAAAGCAGGAAGGGGCAGCAGCTCCAGGAATCCCAGGGCAGAAACCTTCCACGTCACGCTCCCACTGGCTCTGTCACTCAGCGGTGTTGAGCACTGTGCTAGGGGCTGTGGGAACATGTAAGTGAGCTGCTTCAACAAGAGACCTGCCCTTGTGACTTTCTGTGGCCAGGCGGACCTGCTTCCCAGGGGGCACCGTGACCAGCAGGCAGAGCTCCTGTAGGGTGTGGTAGGGCTGCCCTCTGGCCTGAGTCCCCCAGGACCCTGGCCCTGCTGGGCTGGCTGGTGGTTTCAGCAGGCAGGCTGCTGAAGTGGGCAGGTAGCACCTCTTTGTCCTCGGGAGGGGTCCCCCGTCCGGGGCAGATCCTGGGTGTTGCTGTCTCTTCCCTCAGGGGGCTCTAGGCTAGCGGCTGGTTTGCTCCTGACCGCTTCCCATGGGGCATCTATCCTGAGCCCTTTCTGGGCATCCTTCGAGGCCTGGAGCAGAGAGCCAGGGGAGGCCTTCGCTGCAAGACCTGGACAAGTCACCTGCTCCCCCATGCTCCAGGCTCCTCTGTAAAGGACCATAATGGAACCTCTCAGGAACCCCCAGGGGGCTCAGCAGGGGGATTTAACTCACTGCCTATTGCATACAGATGCTCCCCAAATGGCGGCAGTTGTCAAAGCTGTGAGAAATCGTAGATGACAAATTGTTTTCTATCCCAGGAATATAAAATGTCCCCATTTCCAACTATGTCCCATGATATAGAAGGGGCATGACTTATCACAAGCCACACCGTCACTTAAACACTTATTAATCATCTACTGTGTACCAGCAGCTGGCCTGGGTGATGAGCTGATAGCAGGCCTCAGGACCCCGTCCATGACTCCCCTGGCCCATCCTCCGAGAGCCGCCCCCTCCATCTGCTGCTCCCTCCGCTGCCTCCACTGCTCTGCTGAGGCTCCCACCCCTCTTCCGCCCTCCTGCTCTCCAGCCTCTGAGGCTGGGCCCGTCCTCTCCCCACCTTGGCCTGGGGAATGGTCAGCCTGATACAGGAGGGATGCTATGGCCTTTGCAGGAGGACTCCGGGGCTCTCTCCGCTTGGCAGACACCGTCGTCAACTCCATGGGCATTACCCTCTCCCTGGCCTCAGAGGAGCTGGAGTCCAGCCAGGACCTGGAAGAAGGTCTGCAGAGGACAGAGTCCAGTTCTGGAGGGCACATGCCACCTGGGTAAGTGGCAGGAGTAGGAGCCCTGATTGCAGGAGAGGGTGCTGGGTGGGGAGGAGACTCCCAGGATGGTAGCATGACTGGCCTCATTGCCCCCAGATCCTTGGAGTCCCTAGACCATGCCCTAGCCTGGCGGCCCTGACACTCCTTTTTAGTTCTTTTTAGTCTGATGTACCTTGTTGTTCATTTGCTGAACATCCCCTGAATGGCCTCCAGCCCCAGCCACTGAGCTGGTCACAGACCCAGCTGACGGAGTCCCAGCCCCCTGGGTACTGTCTGGAAGGACTTGCTCCTGACCCGGGGCTTAGAAAGCAGATGCTGAGGAAAACTATTTCTCTACTCTTCTTCAGCTGTGGGTCTGAGTCATTGCCTGGGGCACCTCTGTGGACTGACCTCAAGGCTGCCGTGAGCCTGGTGCTCTGGCCAGGGCCCTCTGTCCCGTGCCACACACACACACCTTGCCTGGTGATTGCATGCATCTCCAGGCCTCCCACATACCTGGAGCCAGCTCCCTGGGGGTCTCCAGCCTTCTGTGCGCTCCAGAACTCAGCCTGTCTGGCCAGGCCCAAGAACTCAACATCCAGGGCCTACTACCACGCTGCCTGCCCACCGGGCTCAAGCCCTAAATCTGCTCGACCCGCAGCAAGTCTTCCCCCTCCCACATCCCCCGGCCGTTTCTCCTGGTCTCAGCTGTGGGATCTTCTTTTTGTGAACCTACAGGAGCCCTGGCCTGCTCCACCTTCTCTCTTGTTCCTTCTGGTTCCTTCTTCACAGTGATAGTCAGGAGCATCTTTTTAAAACCTTTATTAAATGGCATTATTTTACTATTTAAAAACCTAAAATGGCTGTTTCTCCCACTTGGAACAGAATTCAGACCCCTCACCATGGCCGGCCGTGCTCCAGGTCATCCTCCTGGGCCTGCCTGCCTGGCCTCACCTGGCCTCTCTGCCCTCCTCCCATTCCCTGCACCCACACCCTGTGTCCTGGACTCTGTGGTTCCTGAGCCCACGCCTCTTCCCGCCTTGGCCCAGGCACCTCCAGCATGGCAGCCTGGTTCCTGCTTGGCATTCAGATTGCAGGGTAAAGGCCATCTTCTCAAAGAGACCTTCTCAAAGAGACACCTGGCCACTCTGCTGCACTCAGCAGGCACTCAGGGTTTTCCCCTTGGCTTAGTGGTCCGCTGTTGATAAGCTCTGAGAGAAGGACCTTGTTTGTCTTATACAGCACATAGCCAGGGTCTGGAAGAGGCCGGCACAAAGGAAGTCCTCAGAAATAAGAAATGGACGAGGGGCTGAACCCTAGCTGCCTTTTATGGCGGGGGCTGGCCCAGGCGCCTTCCCCGGGGCAGAGCACCCGGCACAGTCTACTTTCTCAACCCATTGCCAGTCCCCCTCGTGAGGCGTTGGTGCTGCGGCCTGCCTTGCCTCCGCCCCAGGTCTCTGCAGCCCGCCTCAGGTCCACCCTTGTGTTTCAGAGCATCACCAGAGGCCAGTGCAGGGCCCAGGGTGCCCCCAGCTGCTGCTTCTGGAGCCAACAAGAAAAGGAGCAGCGGCCTGGCCTCCACCCTGGGGCTGAAGAAGCTCCTCTCGGTCCTCGGCCAGACTTCCCGGCCCAAGTTGAGCAAGTCCCGTAGCTACAGCGTGGAGCAGCTGCAGCCCGCTGTGCCTAGCCCAGCTTCCCACAGCAGCACCTCCAAAGTGAAGAGAGCCCCGTCGCTTCAGTCCCTGCGTCTGGTGAGTCCACGGCCCCGGCAGGGGTTGTGAGGCTGGTGGTGGAATGAGGGTGAAAGGAGAAAGATGTGCCTAGGTGCCTCCCAGGGAGCCCACCGTGGAGAAGGGGGAGCCATTGGCTTCCCACAGCCTATCCGTGAGACTTGGGCTCCCCCGGGCCCGGGGCAGGTAGGCATCACCCCAAAGTTCTGTTCTTCTGCCCAGGCCTAGGCTCATCCTAGACTTCTCCTTCTCCCTCAGCTTTGCTAACTCTGACAAGTCTTTGGAAGTGCGGGCACTGGTTATTCTGGAACCTTCTCTGTGGCCACAATGACTCTCTTAATCCAGGCCCAAATCACTCCTGGATTCCCTCACGCCTCTTGACTGGCCTCCTTGCTGTGGCCCTTCTCCATATGGCTTCCAAAAATGGTCTTTCAGATGTGCACCACCCCCTCTGAACATCTGTCCTTCATCACTTGTGCCCAAGATAAAGTGGAGACAGCTCTGTGTCGCCGGACGGTTTCTGTGATCTGTCTGCTTTCGCCTCTTACCACGCTCAACCCCAGTTACACTGGGGCGTGTTATGCTAGACGTCCTTGCACTTCTGTGGTAAGATCACACACGGAGGGATTGAGTCTTCACCTAAACTGAGGCTCCCCTTCTCCACCCGCTGACGCAGCTCACCCATCAGTATTTCAGGCCCATCTCCCATTACGGTCAGTCCTCTGGCGGAGCAGGGCCTCTGCTGGGTACTGCCACCTTCGTGGCTGTTCCGCTCTCTCCCCTCACTCCCCTCGCCGAGTGCATTGAGGAAACACGTTTGATCTTTGCACTGCCGAGGCCTCTCATGATGGCGAACACAGCTCAGCCCTCAGCGCGTGCTGAGGGGGTGGACTCGGGTGGCCAACGGCAGCCCTCCCCCGTGCCTCAGTCTGAGCCAGCCACGCGCTGCTCACTAGCTCCCGACCAGGCTCTGGAAGCCGCCCTGCCCTAGCAGTGTCCAGTGTTGTTTCTCCTCTCACCTCCACCTCTCCTGGACAGTCTCGGGTGGGTGGCTTGGTCAGGGCATGGGAGCCTTTCATTTCTCAGGCTGCAGGGGAAGAGGATGCCAGCTGAATGGGAATTCCACCCACTTTCTTTCACCAGGGACGGTACCAGGTACGCGGTTGGCACTCAGAAGATATCTGCTGGCCAAATGACTGGGAGGCAGACAATCAGAGGCAGAGAGGGCGAGCAGGGGAGAGGGCCACCGCAGGGCCCTTGTGCTTCAGAAACTCCTTTGTGGGACCAGATTAGCGGCCATCAGAGCTTCCATCTCTGTAAAGTCCTCAAGGGAAACGATGACACCATTAGCGAAATAGAGGGGTTTAAGCCGAACCCACAAACAGAAAGCAGCCTGGCCGGGACAGAGCAGGCTGAAGTGCAGGAGGACAGTGCAGGAGAAAGACACTCCAGAAAAGAAAAAAGGAGAGAAAAGAGGAGTCTGTCTCCCCCAGAAGTATTTATGACACGTATCCAGGGAAGACACCGCCAGTTAGCATGTTGGGCCGGCACGCTCGTGTTCGGTGGTCCGGTGGTGGCTGCTTCTCTGTGTGCTGCTGGGGATGGAACCCAGGGCACTGCACACGCTGGGCAAGCGCTCCCACTAAGCTGCCTCCCAGCCCAAGTTGCTGAGGCTGGTCTTGAACTTGTGATTCTCTTGCCTCAGAGTGGACAGTCGCCTGCCCTCATACCCAAACACACCAGCTGCTTCCACCCCTCCGATGGGCTGTGGCTCCTCTCAGGGCCCTTGGAGCTAGTGTCTGGAAACCTTCCCTTCCTCCTCCCTGTTCCCTAGGAAATGTCTGCTTGTCCTCCCAGGAGGCCTTGAGCCTGCCTCTTCGGCATCTGGATAATAGGTCTGCCATCTTTAGATCACTTAGTCCATTCAGCCTGCTCCAACAAATCCCATAGACCAGGCTGTTCTGGAGGCTGGGAGTCTGAGGTCAAGGCTGAGGCCCAGTGGGTGACGAGGAGAACTGCTTTCTCAGGTGACTGTAAACTCCCCTCTAAAGCCCAGAGGCTGTCTGGGGGCCCACCAGGTTCTGCCTTCACAACCCAGGCACCTCCTTAAGGCCTCCTTCCAAGTGAATGGAGGGAGCACAGACATTCAGACCATAGCAACAAAGATTCCAAATGTAATAAATCATGTGTGACATTCACTTAAAAGGCTGCTTCTCTGCCTGGCCCCATCAGCCCAGCCCCACCCCCACCTTCAGAAGGGTCTCCTCATTGTGTCACTTTCTTTTTGTTGTATTTTTTTTTTTGTTTTGGGGGGTACTGAGAATGTAACTCAGGGGTGTTTTATCACTGGGCCACATCCCCATCCCTTTTTATTTTTATTTTGAGACAAGATCTTGCTAAATCGCTTAAGGTCTCAAATTGCTGAGGCTGGTCTTGAACTTACCATCCTCCTGCCTCAGCCTCCTGAGTCGCTGGGATTGCAGGTAGGTGCCACTGTGCTGGGCCTTTTCTAGAGTGCAGATCTGATCTCCTTCTAATTAACATCATGCTGCCATTCCTTAGCAGGGTGTTTGAGGTCCTTCAGGGCTGGCCTCTGTTCTGGTCCATCTCCTCCAAACTCTGTGGCCTCCCCTCCCAGACCACACATATGTTCTAGAACCTGCCAAGCTTTCTCACGTCTGTCCATGTCTTCACTCATGCTATTTTTCTTCTTCCTGGGGCTTTCATTCCTTTCTCTACATGGACAGCTCTTGCTTCCCAGCTCCCCCAGCGACCCCAGACCCCTAAGATGAAGCCTTCTTACTCCCTACACATCACCCTTGCTCTGCACCCGGCACTCACTACACACCCAGAGCTTCCAATCTGTCTCATCTCCACTCCCAACATTTTGTGGGCTCTTGAGGAATCATTGCCTTGTTGGACTTTTTATGCACCATGTTTTAACGTACATAAAGAGCAAATTTTTGAACAAAAGTGATCATAAAAGGGATACTAAAGAATCGCAAAATATTTGGCTTTAACTCTTAAAATATGATTTAATTGTATTTTTAAACTTTCACTTTGTTGCTAATCAGTGAGAAAATTAGATTGTCTTAATGAGATAACTAATGGTATAAAACTGAATTGTTATTTCAGTTGTTATAACCAACCTTGATGCTTCCGTGTAGGCCCATCTGCAGGAGTGAGTTCTGGTGGGTCCTACTGAGCACTTGGAAGTAGAGAGCAAAGTTTGCACATCACTTTCTTAAGAGGACCTCAATCCTCTGTCAACCCCTGCCCAGGTGGTTTTCTCACCTGCAATATTGGGCCTTCTCCACCAGGTGTCACCCTCCCACCAACATCGGAAAGCTTCCTCCTTTCAGAACCTCCATTCTCTGCTGAGCGGCAAGGGGGACCGGTCCAGCCTGTACCTGGTAGAGGGGCCAGGAGATTCCAGTGCAGGAGGCAGGTAAGCGTGGACACAGATGGTCTAGAGAGTAAACTCAGAGATGGCCAGTGGAGCTATAAGCTCAAATCCTTCCTGCCTCAGCATCACGGTCCCTTTAAGAGGCTGCCTGGGCCTCCCCGTTAACAAACTGTCTGGAGAGGCCAGGTGGAGCAGTAGCACCTCTGCCTTCATCCTGTGCAGGGGGCGCTGAGAAGGTGTGGGATTCCAGAAGGGGTGAGCTGCCAGGTTGGATTCCTCTCTCCTTCTGCTGTCTGACAACATCTTGGAATCAGATGTTCTAGAGTTTTCTTAGCCTAGCAAAGATCTGACTAAACCTCCAGAGACAGGGGCCCCCAGAGAGGCCCTTGACCCACACGTACCTCTTTGCCGAGGCCCTGTAGGCTAGGTGCTCGCACCCAGTGCCCCCTCTGTTAACTCCTAGAAATGTCATAGGAAATCACAACTTTCGTCGGCTTCTCGGCCTCTCAGAAGTCTCTACCTAAAAGTCCAGATACCACCGCTGGGTGGGGGAGCTTTCTGGTTCTGCTGAGGCACTGAGAGCCCGGGGCAGGCGTGGTCTCCACCCCAGGCTGCTCTTTCTGCCCTTGCGGTCAGTGGGGCCCCAGCCTTCAGTCCCGGACTCTGAAGTCTGAGACGCCTTGGTCAGCTTAGAGCCAGGGAAGGGCTGGGCCCTTGTCCTCACTGTGTCTCTGGTCCCCTCGCAGGCTGGCCAAGGCCCCTCCCCGGCGGGCCCTCAGTGTGGAAGACGTGGGTGCCCCCAGCCTGCCTCGCACCGTGGGCCGCTTGGTGGAGGTGTTCCCAGATGGCACGAGCCAGCTGCAGCTGCAGCGCTCCTCAGAGGGCACTTTTGGCTTCTGTGTGGCCTCTGGGGATGGGCGCCGGGACTCAGGTATGCCTCTCCCCTTCCTCAGCAAACCCAGTCTTGCCTCTTGGCTCCCGTTGGGTTGCTTCTGGCCTTTGGCTGAGCAGCGGAGCTTTGCAGATTCAAAATCTGCAGGACTGGAGTCCGCAGGAGTCCGAAGCTGTGCAGCCCTGAGGGGTGAAGTGCCCGGGGGTGGGGCTGCCAGGTTTGACTCGCTGTCCCTGCTGCTACCTAATGACATCTTGATATCAGAATCTTGAAGGACACCTTTTCATAGGAGAGCGGAGGGAAATCGTCCGTGCCTGCCGGGTCCCACCTATCCCTTTGATGTGGTTGATGTGTTTCAGCGGCTCCCCTCTCCCTCCGGGTCTGTCTGGGCATGTGGAGCCTGCCCGCCTGCCCGCCCGTGCCACTCTCCAGATTCCTCCCTTGGGGCTGGCTTCTGTGGGTCATGGTCAGGCGGACCCTGGCTCCAGACTCCTGGCTGGGGCCTGTGGGTCTTGATTCCGCACTGGCCGTCGGGAGACCTGGCCCTCACCTTCCCCTGGCATTGCTCAGTACCAGCCATCCAGGAGTCTTTCAGAGCAACTCAGTTCGTGTGGGCCTTTGCCCAGGGTCTGTGGCCCAGAATGCTGCCAAGGCAAGGGAAAGCTCAAAGCTCTTCCCCAGGCGAGGTGAGGAGGGAAGGAGGACAGGTACACGGAGGAAGGGGAAGGAGGGGAGGGAGGGAGCAATGACCCAGAAAGACATTCTCAGGGCCTGTGTCACGGGGCCCTGCCAGGGAAGGTTAGTGCTTGCTTTATCTCAAAGTTGTTTAGCCTGGAAAAAATTCTACCTGCTCCCAAGTCTGCAGATGGCACGAGCCCCGGCACCTGTCCCATCCTTCGTTATTTCAACACCTGCCAGGGCGGGTTCCAGCAGTACCGGAGCAGACAGAACCCGACCTCTGAGCTCACATTCCAGGGAGGGAGTTGGGCTGTGTTCACAAAAGGTCTGCCTTGAGAATCACGGATGTGGGATGTGTATGTATGTGACCTTACAGGCCTCATGTACCTTAGTGAAAAATGTAAGCTGGCGTAGACACGCTTTTTAAAGATGACACCGGAGCAGAGACAGGGGGAGCACATTGGTGTCAGGGGAGAAGCATTTGAGGCGGAGAGAACAGCAGGTGCCAAGTCCTGAGGAGGGAGAGTGTGGGCTGCTGGAGGAGCTGCCAGGGGGTCAGGCAGGGGCCCAGCTCAGAAAGGTGGCGGCGGTGCTGCCCTAAGTGACTTTGGCTCTCCCACTGTGTGAGACGGGAGCCACTGGGGGGCTTCAAGCAGAAGCGCAAAATTCTCAGGTTTACCCTTGAGTAGGGCCTAAAGCCACTGTGTTGAGAATAGAGTCTGGTGGGACAAAGGCCGTCCTGGAAACCAGTTTCAGAGATGGTGGTGGCCTGGACTGGGGTGGCACCAGACCGAGAGGGTTACAAGGGGTGGATTCTGGGAGTCTTACAGGTAGTTTTGACTAAGTTCACTGATGGATTGGACATGAGCATGAGGACAGGTCCTCCCTGCTCTAGACCTGGGGGCCGGGGGGAATGCCAGTCCTCACGGGGCCATGGCATTTGTGAGCACAGACTGAGCCTCATCCAGCCCTCCCCAAGCCGTCGGCTGCTCCACCTTCCCTGTGCCCCCTCTCCTTAGATGAACCCAGAAAGGCTCCCAGCAGGCCCTGCGGAGCCAGAGAGCCCTGGCGTGGGTGTACTTCAGGGCCCCTGCTGTGAGGTGACCTTGAGCAAGCAACTTTCCCCTCTGAGCTCAGGTCTGTAACATGTGGGATGAGGATAACAGAACCAGTGTGGAAGAGTCCGAGGGGCATTCAGTGAGGCTGGGAGGAACGTGTCCAGCACTCTTCTTCTCTTCCCTCTGCAGAAAGAGAAGGTGTATTTGGGGAACAGAACCCCAGACAGGGACCAGCAGGCTCTGCATTCAGCTGTCAATGTGCCCACGGTAAACACAGCGGGGCACGGTGGCTCTCTGCAATCCCAGCCACTCAGGGGGCTATGGCAGGGGGAGGGAGATCCTGTCTCAAAATAAAAATAAAATTAATAAAAAGGACTGGAATGTGGCTCAGTGATAGGGCACCCCTGGACTCAATCCCCAGCACCAAACATGAAGCAGAGAACCCACAAAAGGGCATGCCCCCCGACCCCCTCCAAAGTCTCTTTGGCCCCTTCGTAGGTGGAGAGAGCCCTTCCCCCACTTCCTGTCCTTGAGCGGTGATGGGCAGGGTCCATGACCACCAAGGGCTCCTTGGGCCCCCCTGGCCTGCTCCCCTCACCACACGGGTCCTCCCAGGTGTGCCCTGCTCCTGCTGCTGCAGTTGGCCCCTGGTGTCACACAGGGGTCCCTGAGCACAGGGAACGTGGCAGGTCTGGTGCTCCTGGCCTTCTCCAGCAGCAGTTACTTCCTCAGAGGGCCGTGAGCTGGGGCTGGTCTGGCTCCTTGCTAAAAATGTCAGGATGCCGCTGTTGACTTGCTGGCTGTCACCTCCCATTCTACACCAGCCCGTGAGGACAGCTGGCTTTGCCTCTGCTTATAACTCTGTAACAGAGACCTGCATCCTCAACAAAAGCCACCTCCAGAGAACAACGACTGAGTTGGGACACCTACCCGTCTCCCCCAAATGCCAGAGTACAGTCAGCATTCTTTTGAGGTCTATCCTTACTCCCCACCTGCTTCTCCCACTGCGCATCAGACGCTTCCCCAGAGTCACTGGGGTTCCCTCCTATCCCTCCCCATGCCACAGGTGTGGAGAAGAGCAAGCAAGCTGCCCAGATGCCATAGAGAGGATGTAAAGAGAGGGCAAGGCCTGGCGGAAAGCCCTGTGCAGCCAGGAGGGCAGACGTGCTTTGAGGAGGGGTGACGGAGCCTTGCTGGGAAGGTTCAGCCTGTCCAAGAAGCAACCAAAGGGAGCGCCAGACCCCAGGCCGGGGAACGTGTGCAGAGCCCTGTGTGCGGAGCAGGAGCAGGGGCAGGGGCTCCTGCAGACCCCAGGCTCAGAGGCTGGCTCTGAAAAGCCAGACTGAGGCCGAGCTGGACCCGGCTCCTCCAGGCCACTAATCCAAGGGGCCATAGATGGTTTCAAACCAGACCCTGAAGAACCAGCCAGATGCCCCTTCGGGTTCTGGCTGTGCACCTGGTTCTAGAAGAGGAAGTGGAGACGGCCGTGTGTGGGCAGCTGTTCACGTCTCCCATGTGCAGCCAGCTGGGCAGGGCTGGCAGTGGGAGGGGTGGAGGCTGTGCTAGGCTGCCCAGCGCATTCCAGTGTGGTCAGCTCCACAAATGTTGTCCCTGAAGGTCATCCCCTGTAGTCCTCCAGCAGGTTGGGCTAGGCCCTTAAACCCCTGTGGTCACTCAGTACAGAAAATGGGTAGTGGAATCCAGCTTTCCCTGAAAAAGCTGTGCCCATTTAATCTCAGATGGAGCAGCTGATGGCGAATTTGAGAAGGTATCCAGCCCTCAGCTGGATGCTTTTGTGTGCTTGGCCAGTAGAGGACAGGGGAAGCCAGCCCACGACTTGCAGGGCCTGCCTCAGCAATGTGGGCTCCCTGAGAATCAGCGGCAGAGAATAGGCAGAGAAGCACGGTCCCCTGTGCTTGCTGGGCACCTTCTAGACCACAGGCAATAATCATGCTGGCCAGGCGGGGCCTGGTCACATGGAGGGGAAGGGAGGGGGTGTGTGAAATAGAAGAATAAGCCATCAAGGCTTCTGAAGTATTTTTCCTGGGCTTTTGCCCAGATGCCTCCAAATCCCAAGTGAGGAACTGTATGTGAGTAGGACAGAGGCCGGGTCAGTCCTGGAGGTACCATGTGGCAAACAACTGGGCCTCAGCTATTTCCACTAACACCCTGGCCATTGTGCTGGTCCTGTGCCACTCAGGGTGGCAACTGGATCTATTTATGAGTCCCACTGAGTTCCAGGAACCCAGTAGGCATTTAAAAAAAATTATTTTCTTCTTTATGTTACATCTTGGAAAAAGATAAGATTTTTTTTTAAATATTTATTTTTAATTGTAGTTGGACAATACCTTTATTTTATTTAATTATTTTTATGTGGTGCTGAGGCTTGAACCCAGGGCCTTGCGCATGCTAGGCAAGCACTCTACTGCTGAGCCACAACCCCAGCCCAGAAAAAGATAAGATTAATTCAGTCACTCTGGGGTGTGGATGAACAACATCATCCTCAAGTGTTTTCACTTTTAAAGAGGAGACAGAGAAATGGCTTATGCTGTGGAAGAGACACACTCTATCTCAGCATAAAGCCAGTTGTTGCAAGATAGAACCAGGTGTGTGTGCATGTGTGTGCGTGCGAGTGGCTGTGCCCCACACCAACCCTCTCGCCCTGTGCTTGGACAGCACCTGCAGCGCTGCCAGCTCTGACTCGGGTCTCACTTGCTGCATTCTGCCTTGTTTTGCAGGGCTCTACGTGCAGGAGATGGCTGACCTGGACACTGCCAAGCTGTACTCAGGGCTGCTCGGGGTGGGGGATGAGATCCTTGAGGTGAATGGGGCCAAGGTTGCTGGGCTAGGCCTGGCTCACGTCCAGGAGCTTCTGGCCCACTCAGAGAGTTTGTCACTACGTGTCCTGCGGCAGAGGCCTGTCCCACGGTGACCCAGAAGTGCAGCTGGAAGCTCTGAACTGCCCCGGGATTGAATGGCTGGAATGCACTGCAGAGATACTCTGTGGACCATTTTAAACCACAGATGATGGTGACATGTAGCCCCTCAGGCTATGGCAGGGCTTCTGTGATTGACTCCCCTAGGGCCAGAAATCTGTTTAAGATTATTAATTTATGCAGAACTGGGGAAAGAAAATCCTGATGTCCTTTTATGCTCGAGGTGATGGCAACATTGACTTGCCCCATGTTGGGGCATATTGGAGAGATTCCATGGGTCCTTTATTGGCCCTTGAGAACTGGTCCCATTCCCCTTCAAAGGTGCCCCTAGTCCCCAACACTGCAGAACCAAAGATGGAGGACATATCAGCCGTGTCTCTCCTGGCTCCCACTCGCCACCTCTGCTCCTCATCCAGAAAAGGACACAGCATCCTGGAGTAATAGCCAGCCAGCCAGCAGATACCCCAAGCCAAACCTCCAAACCTATGGCCTGATGAAGTACTCCACCCCCTGTCAGGGTGTGAGAGTATTTGGAAGATGTTATATGGTACCCAGAACATTAAAAATTTCTAGGAATTTTTTTTAATGATATGTAAGGGGATATGTAGGGGGAAAGTGAAATAAAGGCCAAGTTCAGGGAAGTACAGCTGAGGTGGGCAGAAGCTGGCCTGTGGGTCCGCCCCGCCCCCCGCCTCTGCTCCAGTTGCTGCAGCTAGGCCTGGAAGGCCGCGGCTTTGTTCTCCTGTCCAGCGTGCAGACAGGGCTGCAGCTGGTGTCCCCCTGCCCCCAGCTGCAAGCTCCCTATCCAGACCTCCCTGGTGGCAGCCGTGGGTGGGCAGGCAGGCAGCAGGGAGGCTGCAGAGAACAGGGGTGGCCATTCCACCTGGGTGCTTCCTACGCTGGGCTTGGATACGGCCAGAAGGGTTGGGGTTCTGCCCCTGTGTGGCCATGCGTCAGTCTTAAATTATTAAAATGCAAGCTGAAACTTCTCTGGGCTCACTCGGCTTTCACTCGCCCTTGGAGGCCTGGGACTGGGCAGAGGCAGGAGGGCACGGGGTGGCCAGTGAGCATGCCAGAGGCGAAGGCGGGGGAGGCCCCCAGGGTTAAAGTCACAGACCATGTAGATGCAGAGGCCTCCAGGGAGAGGCCTAGGGCTGGAAGAGGGGCCCTGGGTAAGGCTGAAGATGGGGACAGACAGCCCAGGGGCGTGGCTAGGTGCCGCTGGGGAGTGGGCTAGGCAGCCTGGAGCCATTTTGGTACTTGCCTGGTGTTAACTGTGGTAAATAATAATAATAACACAACACCACACACCATCAGCAGGCTGAAGTGAGTGTCCCAGGCAGCCTTCAGGGGCACAGGAGGCTAAAGAAGGCTGTGAGTGAGGAAGGGCCCTGGTGTGGGGAAGCAAGCCTGAGGGGTGATGACAGGTGACCCAGGGCCTCAGCCGCAGAACCAGTTAAAGTCCCTGTCACAGTGGCCTGGAGGCTGGGGCTGAGATTCCACCTGAGCCCAGAGGCTCAGGGCAGGGGTGAGGGAGGAAGAGCCACAAGCTTTAGGGGCTGGGGCACCTCGAGACAAACTGGGCCCCCTCCCCACTCAAAACAGCCCCACAGTCGGAAACTACAGCCGAGGAAACCCTGGCAGCTCCGGCACCCCTCAGGGTCATGAAGCAGGAGAAATTTCACCTTGAAAAGGACTTCAGGGCTGGGGTGTAGCTGGTGGTAGGGTGCTTGCCTAGCACATGCCAGGCCCTGGGTTCCATCCGAGCAAGGCAAAGGGCAGGGGAGGGTTTCAGGGTCCAAAAGCACCCTGGGTTTTCTGGATGGCAAGGACCACCTGCCTTCCTGCCTGAGGAGCTGGGGTGGGGTGGCATTGGGAGGAGACAGGGAAAGTCTCTGGGGAGGAGCTCCTGCAGCGGCCACCCACCAGGGGCGGGCCAGGCCTTGCCATGTTTATCTAGTCTTTATTACTATTATTGTTTTTACAGTATTGGAGATTGAATCCACGGTGCTTTACTACTGGGCTAAATCTCCAGTCCTTTTTATTTGCCGCAGCCCAGGTGCAGCAAACTAACGGGGGAGGGGGGGTGTGTGACGAGCAACTTGTGTAGATTGATGCAGCAGGAGTGGGAGCCGTTTATTGTAGGACAGGAGGGGTATATATACATTCCACACAGCTTATCTTAATTAGCATAAACTAGATACAGCAGTCAACCAATAAGGAATCTCCACACTTAATGGCCCGCTGACGTGACTTCACAAACCACTCCCTCTGCAAAATGCCAGGCGCCATCCTGACTTGTTTACAGACTCTAACATTTATTTTTTTGTTTTGAGACGAGGTCCTACGTTGTTGAGTCTGGCCTTGAACCTTCGATCCTTCTGCCTCAGCCTCCGGGGTGGCTGGGATTACAAGCGTGTGCCACCATGCCTGGCTTAGTCTCTAAGATAGTTCTGCCGGGTAGGTCTTACTGCCTTCATTTCACAGGGATAGCCAGGCTCTCCTCCCCTACCCCTGTGATTTGGGACCCATTCTTCCCAGTGCTGTGCCCCCTCCCCAGGCCAGAATAGCCTAGAAGGAAGGGTAAAGGCACCCAGGACAGTGGGTGGGAGGCACCAACTTTGCTTCAGTGACCCCTCAGGGTGAAATAATGCCGGGCCTGATGGTGTGCCGGGAGGGACTCCGGTTCTTCCAACCTCCTGCCATTTGCTCTGCGTGGGGAGCTGCTGACACGGAGGCCCAAGGCCTCCTCACAAACAGGACCCTCAGAACCTTCCTGGTTTATTACCAGGAGCCAGGCCTGGTGCCAGGAGAGAATGGGGCCCTGCCAAAGACACCCAGTCAAGCACAACATGGCCACAGCCTGGGCTGGGCAGCAGAGGCCCTGGCACCCTGTGGCCCTGAGGGAGAGCCTGCGAAGGTGGTTTGGGGGGAGGTGCGGGTCTTGTCAGGGAGTGGGAACTTAACTGCAAGGACAAGGCCTCAGGACAGAAAATCCAGAGCCTGTGTGAAGGTTCGGTTTCCCCACATAGGGTGACCCGTGTCCCCAGAGGCTCACAGGATGCACCTGATATTGGGAACACACAGAACAGAGAGGCACCAACGTTAGCCTCAGACCTGTCCGTCTTTGGGTGTGAGTGAGGGGAAGGAAGCAGTTCAAAAGCCACCAGGAGAAGCCGCCTGTGTCTCCTGGCGCCGGGTGCAGCCAGAGGGAGGAGGGAGTTCTGCTGAGGCCTTGCGACCAGGAGGGGACTGTACAGGCGGCAGTGATCCCATCCTCCCTCCGGAGGCAACTGTGAGTCACATTGGCACAGCAGAGTGTCGCCGTGAGCCTGGGCAGAACGAAGGACATAGGACGCACCGCTGCCTCCAGCCTTTGTCCACACCACGCTCAGCAACTTCTCCGCCTCTACTTGCGGGTGGCAGAGAATGCCGCAGTCTTTCTGACAAGGCCACTTCCTTGAGGCGGCGTCTGGGCACAGGCTGGCTTGAGCCGCTGAAGTCGCAGAGGGCGGATCCTCGTGGGTTTTGCAGGCCCTTGATCGCCAGCAGCACTGCGGATGCCCAGGCCCGGATGAAGAGGACCCCCCTTTGCCCTGGAGGAAGGCACAGTTGGGGACAAGAAAGGGACAGACGACCCCAGCACGGTGCCTGGGTATTGCTGAAAAGCGCTGGAGACAGGCGCAGAGCCAGGCTGGGAGGACGCAGCTGGCCTGGGATGGGAAGGTTAATGGGGCGACCTCAGGCCCTATGTTTGTGTGGCAGGAGCCGGGGACCCAAGAATGAGCTTTAGTGCATGCAGTGTCCCCATATCTCAGGCGAGAGAGGGAGCCACAGGCATGGCTTGAATTTTGGAAACCAAAGTAAACCTGGGAATCTGGGGACTGTGCAGTCGCTGTCCACCCCACCCCCTGCCTGCCAGCCTGCTTCACGCTGCTGGGACACAGCCCTGAATCCCTAGGGCAACTCTGGGGGTGAGGGCAATACAATACTTACCTTGGAGTTAGTCTGAAGAAGGAATCTGAGACACAAAGGTTAAATCACTACCCAAGATCCAAGATCCACAGCAAATAATTGCGGAGGCAAGATTCAAACCCAGTGGATTGCACCTCAACCGGAGGATCGCAGAACATTGCCTCCCTCCACCTCCTTAACCTGACAAACCCACATGTGGATGGGCCAAAAGAGCAATGCTGGAGGAGACTAGCACTTGACCAAAATAAAAAAAAAAGAGTGGACAGAGGCTGCAGAACAGAGCAGCTCGCCTAAGGCAAGGGCAGGTTCCGCCCACTCTGGTTGAGCTCTGGGGAGCTGAGGAAACCTCCCAGGCCTGGTCCCCAGGGAAAGACAGCCTAGATTCCCATCACCGAGAAGAGGTGCGGGACTCAGGAGTGCTGCAATGTCATGCCTGTGGACTTCCTCGTCCTCTGAGCGGGCTCCAGGTTGGGGATTACCAAGTGGGCATTTGGGGGCAGGGCTTCATCTCATTCACTTACTGTTCCCTTAAATGCTTATGGGGGGGTCTTTGCTGGGGTGTCCTTCCCCTTGTCTACCCACCACCACCTGGCAGCCTTCAAAGAGATTATGCTTCCTGTCTCGGGGAGCACCCAAGCAAGCCGACTCTGGCCCCCTCTCATTAATTTCCATAAAATCTTGTGCCCAGGGCTCTGTATGGTGACTCTCTTTAGGTCAAACTTACCTGCCAACAACTGGACTTCCCTGGTCCATCGGCCCGACCCATTTTCACCGCTCCCCCAATCCCCAGGCGAATTCTAGAGCTGTTCAAAAGGCCCGGCTGGCATTGAATCCCCTTCCCTCCCTTTCCCCTCCATCCTCCGTGAAGCTTCTTTCCCACAGAGCCAGAGCACCTGCTTACAAATGGCACCGCCTTCCTTGGCAGGCAGCTCTGCTCAGCTCTCTCAGGCTGTGGGTTTGGCCAGGTCGGAGTGCGGGCCCTGAGGAAGGGGCTGCTGGGACTGGCTCGGATACTCAGCCTGTAAAGCCAGGGCTTAACAGCTGCCTGCCAGTCCTGGAGGGTACTGCCGGCTGTCCTGTGGATGCCTGGCCACCCGCTGAGCCTGCCTTTGTCTCAGCCTTCTGCAACCTGGGCTCAGGCCCCTACCCACAATGTGGAACTGCCCTGAGGGCTCTGGCCCGGTGCCAGGCCTGGGGAGCGGACTGCTTTGCTCTGGGGTGCCCGCATCCCCAGCTACAGCTGTGAGAAAAAGGCAAGCCGGCATGCCCCAGGCCACAATGGAGGCACCAAGGCAGGAGGCCCCATTCTACTGGGGACAGAAAGGCTTCCCTGGAGAGCCAGCTCCATGCCCTGTGGCCCCCAAGCTCACCAGCCTCCCCCTGCTCCAGAGTTAACTAGGAACAAGGAATGCTGGCAGGAGCCGAGCTTCTGGCAGCCTTCAGATGCCAGTTTTGGTTCTCATCCTGGGCACCCAAGACGTCTCTAGGCTTTTCTGGGTTTATACAATAGAGTTTGGCTCACTTATTTTGCTTAAATCTAGCCAAATAAATAAAAGCTTCAAAACGTGTTATCAGTTAGGATGACTTGCCCAAGATCCTGGACCAGGTCAGCAGATTTCCTGACTCTACAATGGGCTTAAAAAAATTGAGACATGGTCAAGTCCAAGGTAACTGGTATCCATGCTATATCCCGGCACTGCTGAGTTCTACGCCTTAATCCTCCACTAATGTGCACAGCAGCTTTGATGCCTCCTCCCCCTCGGCTCTGTGCAACCACTGCTCAAGTTAGAAGGATGGCTGAGAACCGCCCCCACCACTGAAATCAGTCTCAAGGAGGAAAAGGTCAGACCTGGGTTCCAAGTCTCTCTTGTGCTTACTGTTGTTTCGGAGTTACTTCACACCTTACTTTTCAAGTGTAAAACAGGTCTCCACAGTTGTGTACCTCATAGGTTGTGAGAATTAAGGGGAAACTATAGCCTTGCTGAAAAGACCTGCCAGGCCACCAAGTGCCACCCAGAGGTACTAGCTCTTTAGATAGAAAATCTGAGAAACTAGCTCCTAAAAAAGACTGACGAGCTCTTCCCAGAGGCCAGCAGTCCAGTAAGGGGGAAAGGGGACCTGAGTCTCTTTTGTTCTAGTCTCTGTGCTCCCCACACTTTGTCCTACAGAAACCCCATTCTGGCACATCTTGAATGTGTGGTGTGGCTGGAGTCCCAAGCTTGGCCAGAGGAAGCAGAGTTCCTACTTCCCATCTTCCTGCAGCTGCCCACTGCCTGACCCCGCAGACAAGTGGGAGTTCATCAATGGGGGCAGGAGAACAGGGGCCTGTGCTTGGATATGCAAAAAAAAAAAAAAAAAAAACTAAGAACAAAAATGAGAAACAACGACAGAACACCTGAGACAAAGTTTAAGGTCTCTCCATTTCTCTTTAATACTGAACAGTATTTTTCATACAGTTGTAACATGATCTCAAGAGAAGTAAGAAATATTACCGATAGACTTCGGGGTGTAAAAATATCACTCTTAAGGGTGGCTAGTTGAGTTTTTGTTTTGTTTTACCCAAGTATATTTTTTCAAGTTTTCAAGTTTGCAGTGTCATAAATTTTAGGATTACAATCAAAGCTGTAGATGTTTTATTTTGCAGGGATGCTTTCCTGTAGCCTGAAGTCCGAGATCCTGTGGCAGTGGTTCTCAAACTCAAGCATGCACTGGAACCCTCTGGACAGCTTGTTAAGACAGTACTGACCTCCAGACTTGCCGATTCAGCAGGTCAGAGAGGGGTCTGGGAATGTGCATTCTAACAAGTTCCTGGGTGATGCTGTAGCCACCCTGGTCCCATACCACCTCAGAGGGCCACATATAAAGGAAACAAATCTAGCTGTGGTCAAGGCTGGGTAAACTTCCAGCCTCTGGCTCTGGCCCCTTCTCACCATCTCAAGGGAAGCTGCTCAGGTGTCTGCAGTTCTAACCTGACCCCATTCCCTTAGTGTGCACCTTCCAGTTACTTAAAATTAAAATGCTGCAAGGTTATTTATGCGTGGATAATATATAATGATTGATTTCTGCTGAGCTTTGCCTATCTCTAAATCATACTTATTTCTAATAACAAATAAGCCAAGGAAAAGCCCATTTCCACTTACAAACTTGGAACCCTTCATCATTTAGAGCTGGGGTCCCTTGGTCCTCCCCTCAGTGGCTTCTCGGCCCCCTCACCCTGGGTACTCTCTCAAGTCTGTCCGTGGAGAGCTGGGCCCACTCTTGGCCAGTTACAAAGTCATCGCAGGAGCTTAAAAGCAGTTCCAAAAGCTTCTCTGGGGTCCTGGCTGTCCTCCCCTCATCCCAGAGGACAAGATACGCACTGTTTGCTGGGGATAGAGACATTGGCCTCTCCCAAGCTGGACCTCAGCTCGGGGACACACCTCCCACTCACAAACGGCATCTCAGCGGGATCTACATTCTGTGGAGCTGGGCGAACAGCCCTGGGCTTGATCCCACCCCAGGGCTGCAGCTGCCACCAAGGCCAAGGAGCAGGGCCTGAGAGCAAACAAGGAAGCTGACTGGCCTTATTTTAACATCCCCCGAATAACCAATGTCTCGGAGTCTGACAGCTCGTGACCTTAAAAGAAAATCTAATACCATGCACTGTTCTCAGGAAGGTCTGGCTACAGTCGGCAAACCAGGGCCAGGAGACGTTCACGTGAAGCCCAAGCAACAGGCAGGCGTTCAGGACAACGCGGTCTCAGCACAGTGAACATCTACGCAGCCACAGGGAGGGCATCTCTGGACAAAGGTCACATCCAGAGGAAAAGAGCACCACATGTTAGTTTATGGCAGAGGGAAAACAAGTTTTTTCCTCTCCAACCACTTCCCCAACAGCTGAATTAGTGAAGAGACCGCAGTATACAAAGAGCTCCCAAATATGTCTAGGTCACTACAACCTAGCCTCGGTGCCACTGGAACTTTCAGAGCTTCTGTATTCAAAAGGAGAAAAAAAATCACATAGTCTACAGCGAAGTGATGTGCACAAGTCAGTATCCAATGACCTCTGTCACCAAAGTCCACCTCAAGTGCCGTAACTTGTTCCACAAGCTGTGCGGGCGCCCGGTGGCCAAGTCCAGAATGCAGTGCACCCCCATGCACACTGGGGTGAGCTGTTATTGTTCATCTGCAACAAGATCACACTCAGTGATCCCGGGTCCCTCTGAGTTGACCCTCTAGAGGGTACAAGGCAGGTCTGCTCTGTTGGCATTTCTCTGCCTGAGTCACCAAGCACCAGGCACAAGGCTCACTCAGAGCTGCCTGGGGCTGAGGGGCAGCTCTACTCCCTATAACACTCTTGCTTTTTGGACCCAACACCAGAGGCAGTTCCCAGTGAGCATTGCCAACAAAACAGGTGACAGTGGCGCCCATGTTTACAAACAGCTGACCAATGTGGCCACACCAGAATCAGACCATTGAAGCATATTTTCTGAAGGGCAACTGGACGTTAAAAGACCACCTCCTCTTACCAGGCTATCCGGGGATTCAACTTGCCCGACTGGGAAGGAAGGCCCAGGAGGAGCAAGGTGCCTGGCAAGGCCTCTCATCGGGTCCCATCTTTAGTGCCCCCTCCACGGCAATGGAGGGGGAGATACATCTGAGAGGCCTTTGGTTCACCTTCTCTCTAGGCAAAGAACATTCCTTTGGGAAAAAAATATTCTTGAAAACTTGGGAGGGAAAGAAATGCCGGTGAGAAAAAGAGAACTACAGGCTGCACATGCCATGTTTTAGCGCGTGGTTTCCAGACAGCCACTTGTTTTGCTTACAAATTCACCTTGTGGTACCAGGTGGAGCTGAGCAGTGCACCATCCACACAGCTGAAATGCAACTCAGGGTCGTCATTTGATTTCTTGATCTTCATATGCTCCAAATTCTTCAAAAAAGTAACAGGCAATAGATGTCCCTCTGGTCTCACTTTATAGCCAGGGAAATTACCAAAAGAAAAATCTTGGCTCCACCACCTTTACTTACAGAAGGTAAAATACTTAACAGAGACAGATTTCTGTTGGAGTTAGACTCGATTTCTTTTCACAGCCCTTAATCTCACGAGGTGAGAAGGCATGGAAGTTGCCAAGTTGTTGGCTACCAGACCCATCAGTCTGTTTAACTCTGGCTAAGAGCAGAGAATAATGGGCAAGTTACCAAGTTTCCCCCCTTCAGCTCTGGTGTGAATTCTGAAGTTGTGCAAGATCCTCATGTAACACACACACACACACACAGACACACACACACACACCACTGCAATTCCATTTGCCACACAGTCCAAAGCAAACGTAGCACTGTGATTTTTCACAGTCCTCACAAAGACAGGAACACAAATTAGAGGACTAGAAACTGAAGGTGTTTTGGTTTTCCAGCTGGACTCACCCTCGGGCCAACTCTCGGTGGTCCATTCCCACCTGGCCTCCAGACCGCTCACGTAAATGTTCTTCTCACAAACATAGATGTTTATGAGCTCTCTGAGCTCCTTCGTGTGGAGGCTGAAGGGAAAGAGCCCGGGCTGCCAGCAGGAGGCACTCACAAGCAGTGAGGGTGTGCCTATCGCTCCCTTCCCCCGCCTCCCGACCCTGGGACAGAGTGAAGGGAACACTCTGCCCTTCACTGCCAGTGCAGGGGTCTGTGTGGGGGCCCTTCCAAGGAAGGCTGTTCTGCGGGGACTCTCAGCCCGCACAGCAGGGTCAGGCTGGCTCTAGGTCAGTCTAAGGTGGGGGTGGGAGTGCCCTGCAGGGGGAACCTGTATTTAAGTTGATTCTCCCTCTCCACGTTCCCTACTCAGCTTCACCCCAACACATCTCAGCCACCGTTCGGCAATCACCTTCCAACAGCGAGATCAAAATGCCAATGCAAAAGAATGGAACGACATGCTGCCCGGGGCCACCACGCTTGGCTCTAAACTAACGGGAGTGTCTTACTCATTAAATGACCAGGCGTGTTCTACACAGGCCTTACTGTACTGACCAGGGTCTGGTGACAGCAGGAGAATAGCAAGGCTTTTGAACAGGGGACCTTGTCATTCTCTGAGGTGCTACTTCTCATAATGAGGAGTGAGCAGAACGGTGCTTAAACAAGGTCCCACTTATTTTTAACACAAGACTTCTTAATGCAAACCTAAGGACCATCCCTGGTCTAAGTTTATAGAAGACTATCTGAATAAGTCTTAAAACTTTTAAAACATAAATAACCAGATATCCTACCTTTGAAGCCCTTTGTAACAGTCTCTTTTTTTCCTAATTTAAAAAGAAATAACTTATTTATATATCAAAATTTGAGTTGAGTGTAAACATGGATGCCAACCACCCTTTCAGTTTTATAAATTTGCTTTTAGCTTTCATTAACAGGCAGATTTCCTTACCTACCATGCTCCTAAACAAGATAGAATATCCTTCTTTAAAAATTGTTACAAATATTTATTAAAAAGTGCAATTCAAAAGTTAGCTGGGCAAGCGCACTTGTTGCAAAAAATCACAAAAAAGGGGAACCTCCCCCCCCAAAACCAATCCACAAGAAATACACACAAAACAAGAAAAGTAAGAAAAAAGTTAGGGTGCCGAGGAAAGCACAAAAAGACAAGGAAAGGAGGAGGCCAGGCTTCAACTCTGCCCGGGTGCTACTGCTCTTTCCAAGTGCAAAGGCAGCGGCGCCCAGAGGCCAGCAGCCCCTGGGGCCCAGCTGCAGCTCTGGGTCCAGCTGTTACTGGAACATCAGCTTATGCATCGGGGAAGCTATAAAAAATATCCTATATACATGTGCGCATTCGAGGCCTTTAAAGCCATCAGAAGCTTGAAGTGTAGTGTCTCAGCAGCTTCAGCTACTTAAGCTCAATTAAAGCATCTATCATTACATTTGGATTGGCTCAGTTATTAGAATGGATGATCCAGTCAAGCTGACATCTTCAGGAAGAAAAGAGTCAGGTTCACTTACCCGTCTCGCCATTACTCACAGGGTAAGGGAAATCTGGCCCAGAAATAGCCTTTTTGGGTCAAGATGGTTTCTGCGTAAATGTAATAAATGTACTAACCACTCCAACCCCATCCCCCAATGGAGAGTGCCACCAGAATAAAATAAGTGTCAGTGAGGACAAGCCAGCATCCTAATCCATTTGAGTGCGTTTCTGCACTGTTCAGCAATGATGTATTCAAGGGTTCCCCTAAAAATGTAAGTTGCACCTCTGGGAAGAAGCCCCGGGACAGCAGTGTGCGAAGAGCAGGTCTGGCCCCCCCACTGGAGACACCGTCACCCCTTCCCTGGGCTGCGCCAGAACAGGTCCTGCTGCGCCTTTTAATTGCTCTTGTCCATTAAAGCCAAAGGCTGTTAGCAACCCCAAGCCTCAGGGTGTCTCACTGTTTCCATTAGTTTTCCCACCACACAAAAAAAGCACCTGGAAAAGCAATTTTATCTCAGCTCTGATCCCTGAAAAATGAAACACGGCATTTGCAGTCACAAACTGCTTCTGAGCCTTCTGTCCTCGTCAACAACCAGCTCTCGGGGAGTGAGAAGTGCTCTAGCGATGAGAAACAGCCCGCCCAGGCCACCTCCTCGACAGGGATCTTTTGATGGACAGCAGAAGGAAGGAGCTGCCAGAGACGGGCGAAACGGGCTCTGCCGACCCTTCCCGGCAACTCAGTCCCTCCTCAGGGAGTGGGGTCCAGCAAGGCAAAGCAGTGGCTAGTGGCCCCCAAACAGGACGGGCAGCAGGGGTGTCGTCCGACAGGAGTGCAGTCCCTCTTCCTCTTCTCGCCAGTCCTGCCAGCGCGGAAGGGAGGGGCGTCTGGCGGTGGAGTCGGGAGGAGTGTGTGCCCAGGGCACTGCCCCTGCCCCGGCTCCCAAGCAGGAGGAACCTGGGCCACGGGCGCCACCATCACAGCACCAAGAAGAGGATCAGCACGACCAGCAGGATGGCGAAGAGGACAGCGATGGCACACCACTGGCGCCGATCTGAAAGGCAGGGCAGGAGGATTAGCCCTCCTAGGGCTCTGTGGCCCCAGACACGGGTGCAGGGATTAAGGCAACGGGGCAGAGGACCTGGACCCTGCCTGGGTGCCTGGGATGCTAATAGTGCTCTGGCCTTGGGCTGCGCTTAAGGCTCGTCCACAGCTTTGCCAGTCCCCTGAACATGGGCCTGGTAATAAGTACGTGCTCTGAGTCCAAGTCTTTAATTAAAATCCGTGGCTCTTAGCTTTTTTCTGGGGGTTAGTACATCCCTGGAAAAGGTGCTGGAGTTGGCATTACAGATCAAAGCCTGTCTGCTTTAATCTCTCACCAAAGTCAAGTCATTTAATTCAACAATGATCATGCTCTTTTCTCAATGAGAGGGTGGAAGGGAGATGAAAGCTACTGCTGGTCACTTCAGGAAATGAACAGCTGAAAAAGCTGCTCTCCAGTGAGAGAGTAGGATTAATTTCACACCATACCAGTCAAGGAAGACGTAAGATTACTTACCAGTGACTGTGATAAAGTAATTTATATGGCTCATCTGCAAGTTCAAGTGGAATGCCTTTTCTGAAACCTTCTACACTGCCAACAGGTTAGAACTGCAGGCACAGAACACGGACCCGAGTCCCTCTCAGTGGCCGAGAGCAGGGAGGGAGCAGGCCAGAAGAACCCGGGCCGCCTGTGGTCCATAACTCTACACCAACTGTAGCTACAAGGGGACAGTCACACAGTGCGCAAGCACGGAACACAGGAGATGCCATCATCATCAGGAGGCTTCCTTACCAGGGGAGAACCAGCTGGCCCTCATAGGTGAGCCCTGCTACCTTCCACAAAGGGTCTGACTGATGGAGAAGAATTTCATTAGGCATGAAGAGGCAGCTCAATCACAGGAGTAAGAGTTCCATCTGAGCAGCAGGATAAGGTACATGGATTCAGTAAGTTTACTGGAAAGCCCACAGGCCTTAGCACACCAGAGACCTAGGCTGCAATGAGGGCTGGATCTAGGAAAACAGATGGCAAATGGCAAACATCACCACAAAGCAAAACATGCACTTAAAGTCATTTTAAATGTCATAGATATAAAAGTCTTAGAACTGGCCAAGAGAACTGCCAAAGACACTAGGTAAACACTAGTAAGACACTGGTATTGTCTTAGTGTGCACACCCTGTCTACCTCAGCCGTGCCAGGACCCACTAAGTAACCCTGGGATCAGGACCAAGATCCCAGGTCACCCACGTCTGTGCTGAAGACATGCTGCTCCAAAGGACGCGGGAGCAGGTTCAGCCTCCCACAGCCTGTCAGTGTGCTCAACTAACACATCCATGGTCAGGAAGGCTTATGTATCCACTTTCTTTCTTCTCTCTAGAGAGTTGAACTTCCAGTTTCCAGTCCAGCATGGAGGGAGCTTAGAAGTTAGCACTTTGTCCCATCAAGTAAAAAGCCGAACTGAAAACTGAGTAACTGCCTAGATCCATCAGACAAATAAGGCCACAGGGTAGAAGGCTGCCTCCAACACTGAGAAATCTACGGTAAACACAGAAAATCACAACAGAACAGAAATCCTCCAGCAGCAGCCTCCACTGGAACTGGTGCTCCGAGGGAAAGCTGAACTCCCATGGTCAACACTCGAAGCTCGGGGTTGCTAAGTCGCAGATGGAAGAGCCCCAGGGAGTCTCCTGAAAGGGACCCCCGCACTCCTCTGAGTTTTACCTCCTGAAGCTCAACCAGATTCTCACAGAAAATGTGGAGAAAAATCTCTTCTTGCTTCTGAAAGATGAAGGGGTAAAAAACCATTTAGCAATAAGCCAGAGAATCCTGTTCTTCACAGGACCATTCCATTTTTTCTGCACAAACTGTTTTACCAGAGCCTAACCTGTTGCGGTTTATCAGAACCTAATTACCAGGGAGATGGGAAATGACCAACTCCAATTCTAACCTAGGCTTCCTCAGAGCCTAACTATGATTTTCCTGTGTCACCTGGATAACTCCAAGTGTGGAAATGACTTAAGTTACAACAGCAAAGATGCTATCCATGAAAGAAAGAATTGATATCGGGACTTCACTAAAATTAAAAACTTCTGCTCTGTGAAAGACACTGTCAAGAGAACGAGACAAGCCACAGACTTGGGATAAAAAATTTGCATAAGACACATCTGGTAAAGGATTGTTATCCAAAATGCACAAAGAGGGCTGGGGTTGTGGCTCAGCAGTAGAACACTCACCTAGCACATGTGAGGCCCTGGGTTCGATCCTTAGCACCACATAAAAATAAATAAATAAAATAAAGGTACTGTGTCCAACTACAACTAAAAAATAAAAATTAAAAAATGCACAAAGAACTTCTAAAATTCAACAATAAGGAAACAGTCTGGTTTAAAAAAAAAAAAAAAAAGCAATAGATCTCAAGAGGTACTTCACCAAAGAAGATAACTAGATGTCTTTTCATTCAGCATCAGCTGTTACAAGGCAACATGGCAAATCTAGACAACAATGAGAAACCGCAACCCCATGTCAGAATGGCCAAAACCAAAACATGAGAATATCAAATGCTGGTGAGGCTGCAAAGCAACAGGAGTGCCTGGTGGAAACGCAAACTCGGGCCGCCACTCTGGAAGACAGTTCACTGACTTCCCACAAAACCAAACATACTCCTGCCATAACCATGAAGCAGTGGTGCTCCCTGTTATTTACTCAATGAACTACAAGTCCCTACAAAAATCTGCTTATAGCAGCTGTATTCATAATTGCCAAACTTCGAAGTAAACGACGTCCTACAGCAGGTGATGCCTAAGTCAAATTAGTGCCCCATTATCCATAGTTTTGCTTTCCACAAATTCAGTTACCTCAAGTCAACTGTGGCCTGACAACCTTAAATGGAAAATTAAAGACATGAACAATTCATAAGTTTTAAATTACTTCCAGGTACAGTGGCACACTCCTGAAATATCTCAAGGACATGGGAGGCTGAGGCAAAAGGATTCCAAGTTTGAGGGTAGCCACAGCAATTTAGTGAGACCCCAACTCAAAATAAAAAATAAAAAGGACTAAGGACACAACTCAGTGATAAAGCAAAGAGTTCAATCTCTAGTATCAAAAACAAAAACAAACAGTTTTAAATCCCACTGTTCTGATTTCATGATGAAACCTCATGCCATCCTGCTGTATATCTTGCCCAGGGAAATGCATTACTCCTTTGTCCATCATATCCACACTGTATATGCGACCCTCCTTTAGTCACGTAATAGCCATTTTGGTTATCAGAACTGTAGTATCTCAGTACTTGTGTTCAGATAACCCTCCTTGTAGCAGTCTCATGTTATGTCACATTGCCTGTGTCACCCACCTCACTTCATCAATCATATAGGCCCGTATCATCTCACATCACTGTAAAAATGGTGAAAACCATACAGAAAATTTTAAGAGACCACAGTCATACAACTATTATTATAGTATATTTTGTAATGATTCTACTTTATTATTGATTATTGCTGTTAATCTCTCCAGTGCTTGATTTGAAAACTGAACTTCATCACAGGTGTTACATACAAGGGTAAACAGTGTATATGGGGGTTAGTACCATCCACGGTTAGAGGACCCCTGGGGGTCTGGGAACCTATTAAGGCAGGAATGACCTGTAAACTGTGGTACATCCAGACAACAGAAAACTATTCAGTGCTAAAAGAGAAATGAACTATCAAGCCATGAAAAGGCATAGAGAAAACTTAAACGCTATTACTAAGAGTGAGAAGCCGATCTGAAAACGCTCTGCACATCTGACTCCAACTGTATGCACATCTGACTCCAACTGTATGCACACTGGAAAAGGCAAAACCATGAAGACACTAAAAGGATCAGTGATTGCTAGGGGTTAAGGAGGAGGGAAGGATGAACAGGAATCAAAAATCAAACCACATGAGCTTCCACCTCACCAATGACAATGGCTATTATAAAAAAGACAACAATGACAAATGGTGGCAAGGAGAAAAGGGGAGCACTCACCTACTGCAGTGAATGTGAATCAGCACAGCAAATGTGCAAATGGGAAGGAGGTTCCTCAAAAAAATTAAAAATAGAGCTACCTTGCAACCCCGCAGCCTCCCCTCTGGGTCTATGCCCAAAGGAGATGAAATCACCATGTTGAAAACACAGCCGCACGCCCAGGGCACTGCAGCGCTATCCACAACAGCCAGACGGAGAATCAACCTAAACGTCCATCAACAAACAGAGATAAAGAAGATGTGGTACACCTGCGAGATCCAACACTCTTCAGCATGAGATCCTGCCTCTTTGGACCTGCAGGACACTATGTTGACTGAATAAGTTAGGTTCAGAAAAATAAACACTACATCACCTCACTCATATGTGAAATCTAAAAAAGATCTCATCACAGTAGAGAGTAGAACAGTGGTCACCAGAGAAAGAGTGGGAGATGGGAGAGGTTGGCCAACACGGACAAGGTTGTACTGTTTGGCAGGAGAACTAAGTTCTAGGGTTCTACAGCACAGAGGGTGAATAGAATTAACAACAGTGCATCACACAGCTCAAGAGAGTCAGGAGAGAGGATTGTGAATGTACCCACCATAAAGAAATAACACAACTTCAAGGTGATGGACATGCTAAGCACTGAGGGGACTCACTACCCCAGGCATATGACAATCAAAACATCACACTGTACCTTGTAATATGCACAAATATTATGTATCAATCAAAAGTTAAAAGAAAAAAGAAATTTTAGGGTACTGAAACTTCTGTATACGATGGTAGATACAAGTCATATTTCTGTCAAAATCTGCAGAATGAACACCAAAAATCACCCTAATGTAAACTATGGATTCTGGGGGTGATAATGATATCTCAATGTAGGTTCGTGGATTTTAACCAATGTAGCACTGTGGTATCAGAAGTCAAGAGAAGCTTGGTGGAGGGAGGAGGGGTTATAGGGGAAATCTTTGTATTTTCCTTTTCATTTTGCTGTGAACATAAAACTGCTTTAAAATATAAAGATTATTGATTAAAAAAGAGAAACAAATATTTTCAACAATTTAAAACCACTCCCGTTAAATGGTTAGTTCATACTCTCACTGGGCAAAAACACAGAAGGTAACTGCTTCCCCTGCCCCAATCTCCACACACCTCCTGTGCGCGGGGTGGGTGGGCAGCACCAGGCCATCCTTGGTGCATGATTCCCAGAACCAACTCAGATTCCCAGTTTCTGGCTTCACATTAGCCTCTAGCCAGATTCCTACCCTCCCCAGTCACTTTCTTTTCTACAACCACATTAAATAGGGTTTTCCTCAAGTGAAAACACAGAGCACAAGAGCTAGCACAGCCAGGCCTGCTCTTTTAAAGCCATTTTCCTTTGAAGTGGTTAAGCTGCTTCTCTGAGGCATGAACTAGGTAACTCCAGGGAGCTGCTGCCCTAGCGGACTCCTCCCAGCGCTTCTTGCAAGGCTTCAAGCACAGAAGGAAGGGGCAGAAATCACAGGGGCTTTTGTGACCTCAAGTGAAAAGTTTAACCTGTGTTTTCTTCTTTCTTCTTCTTTTTTTTTTTTTTGTTGTTCATGTTACGCCCACACCCACACTGTACCCCTGAACTCTACCCCCAGCCCTCAATCCGCCTTGCAAGCACAGGGCCTGGTAGACAAAGGGGAATGAAGAGAAGGGAGGGGAGACGGACAGGGAAAGACAGCAGAGTGAACGGGACATCACTTTCCCGTGTTCATATGTGAATACACGACCAGTGAAACTCCACAACACGTACCACCACAGGAAGGGGAAGTCATGCTCCATGTGTGTGTAATAATCAGAATATATCCTACTGTCACGTGTAACTAAAAGGAACAAATTAAAAATTTAAAAAAAAAAAATTAAGAGGGGAACAAAGGGAACTCCAAAGGTAGTTGTTCTGGCTTCCCCTCTTGCTCTCCAAACACTTTCCTCTGTTAAACAGAAAAGATGAACGACAGAATGTTGGGAAGTAAGGTGAGTGGGGGGGGATTCTCAGTGTCACTTAAGAATATTCTTCTCTGGCAGAAAAACGATAAAAGTTAGTGTTTCTCTTGAGTCATTCAAATAAGTGAGTGTAGGCTCTGGGCTGACTTCTTCGTGAGCAGGGGTGAGAGCTCGGCCTTGAGCACTGTGGAGGTGTGTGCAGGGCTGCCTCATCACACTCTGGTGAGTAGATTTGATTTAAAAGCAGTGAGCGTCATCAAAAGTTAGAGGGGAATAGAGGCAAGTACAAACTGCCTGCTCCACAAATTGGAGCAGACCCACCTGCAGGAGGCGGCCCTGGAGTGTTTCTCTTGGTAGTGAGCAAAAGTGAAAGGAAACAGGGGCGACCCATCCAAAGTGAAGAGCTTTCAGGACAACTGCTGTTTCTGGGCTCTTTTTCTTGTGCAAATATAATCAAAGTTCTCACTCTGCTTCCCAAACTTCCCCTTTGGAAGAAGACAGAATCAAGCACAAGCAAGACCAGTGCTGTTCGTACCCACAGAGGCGCTGACCACAGGGCGCTATTCAGACCAGGAAGGCTGGGGACAAAGACAGTGCATCTTTGTTCACTTGCCCTTCCCAACAGGGCTGGCGCTGAAGTAGCTACTTGACTTCACAACTAACACATAACACTGGTGAGGAGCCACTGTTTAATCTGCTTGTATACTTCATTAAAACTTTTTTTTGTTTTAAGTGGAGGGTGGGAGAGGAGAGAACAGAGGAAATAAAAAAGAAGACGCTGCCAGCCTTTCTCTAGGCATGTGACCGATGCATGAAGCTGGTCCTGCTGCCGTTTATACACAGCTGCAGACAAGGAAAAGCCTGCTCTAAGCAGAAAAATACTTGCCCCTGGAGAGAAAGAAGGAAATAACTAGATTTCCCTTTGTTTTGGATTTGACAGGTCCTCTGCTTCCTAGGACCATCTGGTGCCTTAGGTAATTTTTAAAGTTTTCATAAGTACTAATATGTAGTAGACAATGTTAAACACTTCTATATTATTAAATTTCACTTAATCCTCACAAGTACTTAAGAGGTAGGAATGAACCCTTTTTGGGGTGGGGGGCAGGCTGCTGAGAATCAAACCCGGGGCCTTGCACATGCTAGTCAAGTGCTCTGCCGCTAAGCTGCATCTCCTGCCCTCAGCCTATTTGCAAAGATAAAAACTGAACCCAGAGAGCCATTATGTAACCTGGCTATGCCTTAAACTGCTGCAAAGTAAATGCGCATGTGTACTTAGGGCTTATGTGTCACATGCACCTCATAGCAAGAAATTAAAGAAGAATGAGGTGTCAAGAAACAGGAGCTCGGGGCTGGGGATACAGCTCAGGTGGTAGAATGCTTGCTTCGCATGCACAAGGCCCTGGGTTGGATCCCCAGCACCACAAAGAAAAAAAAAAAGAAAGAAAAAGAAACAGGAACTTCTAATGGGTTCTGTGATCCACAAACACTAAAATTACCTCAGGGAGTCTCTCCAACCACCAAGCCACCTCTACCAGATAAAGATGATGTTGGAGATTTTTATTGTTTGTTTGTTAAATATATTACTTCCCAGATAATAGGGGAGGTGGTTTCTAGTAGTCAAAAAATATAAAGCATCATTGGAATATATCTTCCTATCCAGTAACCGATTTGAAAACTGTTACTCCTTCGTCCTCATCCTCTGGTATAAATTTGCTAGGACATTTCATTGTGAATTTAAATACAACAATTTAAATTAAATCTACAAGGCCATCTTACTCTGACATAGTAGACATTTTTCTATCAGTGAAAGAAAGTTCCTAGAAAATAACTGGCTTATTTATTGCTTTAAATAAGTTCCCTATTTTGGCAAGGAAATAGGAAAAAAAAAAAAAAAAGGATTTCATAATTACAAAGAAAGTTGCCCCACTAAAAGAAATATCACCAAACGTCGCAGGGAGGGTCACAAGGCCCTTTTCCCAAATTAGGGGTACAAGCAGAAGCTGAGGCCTCTGTATTCCTGTCTTTTATTCTCTGATCCTAAGGCACCTCAAACAAATGTTCCACAGGAAAGGGGTCTTCGTGGACATACCTGTGAGGGGACCCCAGAGCACTTCGGAATTAAATATGGATTCATGAGATTTAAACATACATACCACTGGTCATGTGAGACACTTTTGCAAGTTTCTTCATCACATTGTCTAGCCGAGACTGAGTGCTCTCCAACTCGTGAGAGAAATCATCCAACATGCTAGAAAGAGGAGGCAGAAGGTTGGTGATATGCACAAAACTCCACAAGGCACCAACCATGGAATTACATCAGGATCTAGGTTCCATTTCAGCCAACTTAAAACAGGCCACATTGGGATTCAGTACCCAGTCTATTATTCAAAAATCCTTGGGACAAGACATGCTTCTTTTGATTTTGGAATTCTGGGAGTTTATAAAAAGATAAGTTATATATGTACTATTAGTCAACACCCCCAGCCTGGTCTGAGGCATGCCCCCCACCCCCATAATCAACACATTTCTTTCTTTTTTTTTTTTTCATTTTTTTGTAGTTGTAGATGGACAGTGTGCCTTTACTTTATTTATTTATTTTACGTGGTGTGAGGATCAGATCCAGTGCCCTACACATGCCAGGCAAGCACTCTGCCACTGAGCTACAGCCCCAGCCAACACATTTATACTCTATGGAGAAAACTATGAAAATTCACAGGTGTAGTCAATTCAGACGAGGTTTTCTGTAAGATGAGCATGCTGCATATTAAAAAAGAGAAGCTTGATTTTTAGAGCTTTCTAGATTTCAGAACAGCAGGTACGGCAGCGTGGACCTGACTGCACAATACTACAAACTTACTGGCAGGGCCACAGGGCAGAATGCAACTCTGAGAAGTCAGATAGCCAGGCTCTGTCCTTCCACCTTGGTCAAGGTACCCTACAACTTTGGGGGGACTGTTTTCTCACTTGTAAAATTGGGTGATCCTATCTCATGGGGTACTTGTGAAAACCACATAAAATAAATACAAAAGCGCTGTGTGTCAACAAGGGTTAAGGAACGTACTTTAATGAGATATATTCTCCCTTAAATCCCTCTTTGCTTGATCATAATCAGAAAGCGTTGGCACCAACATCCCTGAGGGGCATCACCCCTCCCCTACTCAGGGAGCCACAGTTTCCTCCAGGAAAACCAGCTCCAGGAGACACTTTCCCTATTTGCTGGCCAATGTGCAGCAGGGAAAGCAAACACCAAAATCCGGTCCTCTTACTCCAGCAGCGCTTCCTCCATCGATCACCACACATTCCAGACCTCTCAGCTGTTGATTAGCCCATGATTATTCTGAGGCTAGAATTAACACACCAATTAGTACCAGGGGCCTGACTACAAAGGCCTTCTTAACTCTGACAGTGTCACTGGCAGCTAGAAACTGTTGGTCTTGGTGTGTGCCCAGAAAGGACACATGACAGTCCTGCAGGATTGAGACCATCAACTCCTCATTAAGTCAATTACTAAATAAACTCCACATCAACAACTAAATAAATTTGTGTTCCTTACCTGAATTCTCAAACTACAACATTTTTAGCTCCTCTTAGAGCCTGGCAGCACTGCAGCCCTGCAGCTGGCAGGCCTCTGTGGGCAGGGCCCAATGCTGAAAAACAAGAGCTACCTTTGTGTGCTGGGTACCACTTCTCTCACTGAGACAAAGCAGGCATGTCGTTAACCTTTAGCCAAGGACACCCACGGGCCAAGCGTCCAGTCCTGCTCTAACTCAACGCCTGCCAGCCGAAGGGCACTGTGGCACACATGACATTTTACAATTTCCAGGAGCCATGTTTAAAAAATAAAAACTGCTGAAATTAAGGGGCTGGGGTTGTGGTTCAGAGATAGAGCGCTCACCTAGCATGCACAAGGCACTGGGTTTGATCATCAGCACCACATAAAGTGAAATAAAAATATTGTGTCCACCTAAAACTAAAATATAAATTTTTAAAAAACTGCTGAAATTAACTAATAATCTTCTCTGTCTATTCCAATATGTGTAAAATATTACCATTTCAACATATCATTAATGCAAAAATTACTAATAAATTATTTTATACTTTTTTCACCTCAAAATCCACTGTGCACTTGACTCCTAGAGCACACCTCCATCTGACTGCTCATACTTCACCTGCTCAACAAGCACATGTGGGTGTGACTCGTGCTATTTTACTGGCACCATCAGCCAAGATTCATGTTTTTTCCTTTTAATTTACTTATTTTTACCAGAGTTACATACATACCTAGTTTAAAGAGATAAATGGTCCAAAAGCCTTTTTACAAACACCATGGTTGTTTTCTGTTCCCCAGGGCAGGTGCTTCCACCCCCTCACAGTCTTCTCTTGGTACATTCTCTATTTTTGGAAGTAACATCCTTGTACCCCAGGACCCTGACTTTTATTTTTATCTTCAGACTCTACCTGTTGGCTCAGCACTACCATAGAAATTAGCTCTCTTCCTATCTGACCTCACCTCTGCATCCTCCCCACTTCCCTCTGATTGTACAGTCACAGTTTGATTAGATCAATATTCAGCATTTACATTAGGACTACTGAATAAATGCTACCCATGGCTGGGGGCTGTGTGGTGGGACTCGGAGCTCAGCAGTGGTCACCTCTGGCTGAGGGTTCACCCTTCTCTGGCCTGCCAAGTCTATAACCAGCCTCTGCCTGCTTTCTAGGATCTAAACTGTTATGACTGTTTTATTTCATATTTTATGACCCCAATAAGTTTTAAGCCTTAAAAGAATTCCTTTGCTATTGTTCTAGTGGATTTAGTGGGAATAGAGAGGGGTGTGCTCAATTCACATCTTTAACTGGGAGTCTCAGGTTTTTTCTATTGTCTGTTTGCTTCACCAACAGACTACCTCAGGTCATTAATTCCTTCCCATCTCAACAAAGGAATTTAGAGTCTAATCTGTGTTTGACAGGAAGCAAAGTCTAGATTCCTGCTATTCCAACTGCCTAGCTGGTCTCCCTGCCTGGATCCACCCTGGGACACCACCTAAATCACACAGCAGCTAAGCCTCTCCAATACCTGATCCCACCTCACTCCCAAAGCCACCTCTCTGGTCTCCCAGCAAGCCCAACCCGAGAAGTCCTGCCTCCTTACCACCCAGACAGGCCTTTCCTGCTCCTGTCTGCCTCCCTATCTGGACTTCAGCCACTCCCTCTGATGCCCATGCTACAGACACGGAACCTCTCACTCCATTCACTCTCTGCCTCCAGATCTTTACAGGCAGGTGTTCTTTCTTCCTCCTGGTGCACGCCCCCTCACTGCCTTCTGGCACAAGCACGAGTCCCACCTCACCCAGCTATCTTCTGCCCAGTCTGCAGGTTTCAATTAAACTCTTCTTTCTCAGAGAATTTCAGCTAAGTCAGAGCACTCTAGGCAGCAGCGCTAGACCAGTCACAGGGAACTTCCTACTTCACTGTCAACACTTACCATACTGACTTCATTTAAACAATGTCCATTTCACTCAGGAAGTGGCCAACTCTCTGAATGGCAGACACAGTGTCTCTTCTGTTTGTGCTATGTACCCAGGGCCTGGCGTAGAACAGGTGTCCAGTAAGAATCTATAATGGATGCTTGTGTAATCTAAGACTGAGATAGGAGAGTTTTGAAATATCTTGATGGACTGTCTTGTTTCCCAGAAGAAAATTTGTAAAATGGTAAAAGTACTGCATGGTGGCATTTAAGAAGGTTGTTTTCGCTGGTCATGGTGGCACACACCTTTAATCCGAGTGACTTGGAAGGCTGAGATAGGAGGATTATAAATTCCTAGGCCAGTCTTGGCTATAAGCAAGACTCTGTCACAAAATAAAACCTAAAAGAGCTAGGATGTAGCACAGAAGTAAAGTTTGCTTGAAGTCAATCCTCAGTTAAAAAAAAAAATTTTTTTTTTTTTGCTATCATACTTTATAATGTAAAAGAGATTGGCCATTTAAAAAGTTATGTTTCCTTGGTCTGGGGCTATAACTCAGTGGCAGAGTGCTTGTCTCTCATGTGTGAGGCACTGGGTTTGATCCTTAGCATCGTATATAAAAAAACTAAACAAATGAAAGCATGCTGTCCATCTACAACTAGAAAAAAATAAAATTAAAAAAAAGTTATGTTTCCTTGATTTTTTGTTTTGTTTCTGAGAGGAAAATTTCCTTGCTAAATATAGAGTTAAATTTCTTAGTTTTTCTATTAAATTATGATTTAAGTTAAAGCAAAGTCCTGTCAATGCAGCAGTAGCCACGAGAAGACGGAGTGGCAGAGCTCCTAATGCCACCTGCACAGGCCTCCCTTTACACTGTCCATCCCCTTTGGAACAAAAATCTCCAGAGGTTACATCCCTGTTCACATTTGCATTCATAATCATGCTTCAAACATTTTCTCAAAGAAATTTGTTATCTGTTTTTGGCGGTGTTTAAAAATAATAACGATGCCTAAACCCTGCTGTAGATTTTATCTAAAGAGTTGCTTCTTTAGGGGAGGCTAGTCTACAACAGAATAAAAATGCAGCTATAAATAAAACAGCTTTTGGTTTTACAGTCACATAACTGCCAGGCCTTTGGGAGGTCTGTCCTATGAGATGGCTTTTTCTTCGGTCTCACTACAATGTCGGGGTGCCTCGATACTCACACTGCCTGTTCCTCCAGCTCCCCTCCAATGCGCTGGGACATGTTCTTCAGCACCCCGATGCTGCCAGAGACCAGCTCCAACTGCTCATCCTGCTGTTCCACAATCAACTGGTGCCAGAGAAACGGGAAATAAGCAATTAAAATCCATCTTACCTGGTTCCAAGCCCAGCACTCTAGCAGCTGCTAGTTTCTCTGCCAGCTTGGGACAATTCACATTCAGAAGCAAAGCCCAGAAATCAAAGGACCAGACCGTCGCCTCTGAGAACACGCTGCTCAAAAGGCTGGATTGTCAAGCTACTGATATCTCCTGCTGATCCAACTTGTGAACAGTCAGCAGGGCTTGAAACCACCAAGAGAGATTTACTCTGGTTGGCTGAAGTCCAATAAAGGGACAGACAATGGCTGAAAACACACATGCAGATGACCACTGAGTCACGGGTATGATGGGAAGAGGAAGTCCACGGCCAGGATCAAGGTCTCCAACCACAACATACTGCCAGCTTAAATGCAAGAGAAACTGTCAAATCTCGGGATGTGGGAAAACTACAGTGTTTTTCTTCCTCCTCAAACACAATCTAGAGGAAGCCATATGGAAATGTTATCTCAAGGACAACTACTGAATGACAAATTAATGTTGACTTTTAATTGTGCTTTATACCCTCTCTTTCTATTAAAAAATGGCTGCTTGGAGGGAAGATACAGCTCAGTTGGTAGAGTGCTTGCCTTGCATGCACGAAGCCTTGGGTTCTATCCCCAGCCCCACAAAACAAAACCAGTTTATGTCTGGCTAAAAAATGGTTGCTTGGTTAACAGCAACTTGAGTAAACTACTAGTTAAGGAGACATACTAATGGAAACAAAAGAACACATAACCTACACATACACAAAAAACACAGAATTTAAGAGCCAATAGTTTTAATAGACCTGATCATCCAACCCCTAGATAGCTTTCTTTTAATAATCACAAATTAGAAGCACAGCATACATACAGTCACTTTCTCCTCCTCAACTTCCATCAAAGCATTTATTTTTCCTTGTAATAGAACACATTAATAATTTTCAGTGAAAATACAAAAACTCAATCTTTCTGAAAGGGTCTTCATTGACATGAACAAAAAAAAATGAGTGTATAAATAAGAGGTTGGGGAAAAGGTTTTATTTTATTTTTAAAAATCCTTGGCCTTGTCTTCCAGGGTTTTGTTTGTTGAAGTGCTGGAAGTCGAACTCAGGGCCTTGCGTGCACTAGGCAAGTGCTCTAGCCACCACGCTGCACCCCTGCCTTTCAGTTTTCATGTCTGTCTGCTTTCTATGAGACTCCTCAAGCGCGCTTCTCTGAATACTGTGCTCTAAAGGCTTTAAAACCCCTCGTGTATGTGATCATTACACAGTGGCACAGTCAACCGCGGGGCAAGCTCTGCTCAAACCTGCCTATCAGTAAGCAGTGTGGCCCCCTGGCTGGCGGAGGAGCCCGGGGAGGTATCCCACCTGCCACCTCCCCTCCTGGCGGCTGTTCTCAGGGTACCTGCTGCTGCGCCTGCTGCTCCTCGATGAAGTGGGAATTGGCTAAGTGCAGCTCTCGATCCAGGCGCCCGTACTGATCTGTGGTTCCTGTGCTCCAGGTCTGGCTGCCACTGTCTCCTAGCAGTGCCTGTGTGAACGGGGTGATCAGAGTGAGGAACAGCAAACAGGTACCATCTCTGAACAGTGAGGCATCAGGGTGACAAAGAGCTCTCACATTTCTCATTACCTGGGCCACACTTCTATGGGTGCCTGTGTGGTACAACTTCGGGACTGCCCTGAAGGGCCTTCTGTCTTCAAGCCCTCCCTAGGTCTGTCCCATTAAAATGCAAATAAGTGTCCACACTAACCCAACAAACAAATCTGTACATTGTAAATTGCCTCACAATTTAACAGCACTCAGTCCCTTACAACAGCTCTTCCAAGGACCCAGAGTTTCCAGTCAAACTGGTTTACAAATCTGGAGTCTGTTATTGAAGGAGGATCCAGGAAGCCTGGGGGCCTTGGGGGATGGGGATTTCCCAGGATGACGAGAAGGTCAACAATAGCCCCTCATACACAGAAGGCACAGAACCATCCATCTGCTGAACTCAGTCTCTGAATAAAACCCGACACTTCACTGGAACTGAAAGCTAGACTTCCCAGAGGATGCGGGGTTGCTCCCCCAGGCAGCAGGACCACAAGGAGTCCTTGACACGGTGTTCTCCTCCAGGGTTTCTGGAGGCCAGGGATAGCTTTCCCCAGGATGAACTCAAAGGAGTTTATAACCAGAAATGGTTAAGTCTGAGAATATCTCGCTTATGTGAGAGGTCAGGAGGGAATGTGAGACCCCTTCCGACTGCTCACACCAGGACTGCTCTAAGACTCAGAAGATGCTGGTGACTGCAAATCATTCCTCCTTGTGGAGTGGCCAAAGCTTTGTACTAGGTACTTTTTACCTCTGGCACTACTAAAAGCCTAACCAGTTACTTGATTCTCCCTCTGAAAGCCCCACCCACGCCTCTCTCCATTGGTCACTGACCTCCTCCTGACTTTCAGAAGTGAAGTCTACTAACAGGATACAGGGGCCAGGAGCGGGCAAGTTCGGGATGCAGAACACCAACCTCTGAGGCTGTTATCAGAGGAGCGCCTGAGATACTTACTATGGAAGTTCTTGTTGAGATCTTTGAGGCTCAGGGTATCAGTCCAGTCAAGAGGCTGGATGTGACTGTCTCTGGAGTAAAGCAGACCTATGGCCTTTGGTGGTGGCTCTGCCCTGACCTGTTCTTAGGGATGTCAAGATTTAAAAGATCCGGCTCATTCTAATCCCAAACTCTAAGGACCTCTGTGGAGGACACTGGGGTCTCATGACAATTTTTTCAGTGTCAGAAAAAGGGTAGAGTGCACCACTGAGCTTTAGGCAGGGACCTGGGGCTCCGTCGGGCTGTGTACCACAGCCAGGGCTATGCTGTCCTCCAGTGTCTGTGGTCTACCCTTGGTGAGACATACATCATGTTGTTCAGAGTCATGTAGGTTTTATCGTGAAATAGCTTAGAGTTCATCAGTCTGATCCCCGGGAGTCTCATTCAATGGGAAAGAAGATGGAGGAGGCCGCAGCACTAAGTGATGAGCTTGCGGAGAGGTGGAGGCAATGCTGGTGAGGCTGCGAGTGGCACAGCACCTGGTACCTGGCACAAAGACCGACTGCCCACATGATGCCTGGAGAACCCTGGCCCCACTGTTCCTCGAAAATAAGAGGCCCTGTGACCTGTCACTCAGACTAAAACAAGATTCCAAGTCGTGCTTGGAAAGGAATGTATGAATTCTCACTTCATTCACATTACTTCACCTAAACTACCCAGAGAATAAACACGTTAAGGACAGGCGTTACCTACTTCACTGTCACGACTACTTCAGGTATCGTCATTTACTTTCCTATATGCTCATGTGCAAATGACAAAGGAATTCCCAAACTAGTCAGCTGTGGTCATTTATTAGCTTCTTTCTAGAGTTAGAGCCAGGTGGAATGAGCTAGCTAATGACTATTCCTGCCTGTACAAGAAGAAGAAGAAGGAGGAGGAGGAG